TTGTGTGATGGAGGACCTCGGTTGGTTGACCAATCATAAAGAGATAGTCCTTGGCCAGGAAAGTCTTCAGACAGAGGGTTTGAATCCCTTAGCCATCAACCGTCAGCTATAGAGCCGAATAGGCACGCCCGGAGGACAACGATTTGAAGCATTAAGCCTAACATCTTTTTTGCAGGTTTTCTCATTGAATTCCTTTTAATTTCTTTTTTTTTCTTTTTTTTTCTTTTCAGGCCTTTAGATTGCTGCATCTGTTTATTGAGTGTCTTATCAACTTAAATGATAGCATTCCTTCGATGCCCGAGGAGAAATGAGTACGGGTTTATGTTTGTATCGACTCGATATTGCGATGTAAATAAATAAGTACATGAACCCATTCTGAGGTTTCCTCGGCTCGCTAAGCCGCTCCGCCGTTTTTTTGAGCAACGAGTAGACTAACAATGACATGAACCAAATATCTTCATCTCCATCGCATATCCTCGCCATACAACACAATCGCTATAGCAATTCGCATCTTCCAGATCCCAATAAAATGGCTCGTTCCGCGTAGAAAGTGGTGCGCAAACAAGGGCTAAAGCCTAAAGCCCAGAAAAGGAGACTTACATACACCAACCCCAAATACAAATATACATACCGGCACCTGTTTTGTATATCCCTTGATTAATGATGATGATAATGACGTAGATGGTAAGCGGGAAACTAGAGGGGAAGTGGAGAGTAATTCAAGCTTCAAGATACAATTAGTCTCACTTATACGAGTAGAGTTATATGCTTATAAATGCCCAATGATTGTTCGTGTATTGTTAGGATGAAGTCTATGTTCGAAGGTTTTAGTTGCTGAATAGCTATGGAAATTTGATGTATATTTAAGGTCTCAGTTAAACTCTTTATTCCAATGCAATTGAATGAACACTTGCAATTATAAACGATGTTGGATTTGAGTCTGAACTGTGGAAGCTTCGATTATGTACTGCTCAAATCAAGAATAGGACTCTGATGTATGATGTATAGATGCTAGGAACGAGATATATTCGATATAGGGAATGAGATTAGGCAATGCTCAATCATTTTGTTACAAGTAGAGACAAGACTATGTTGTCGTTCATAGTTAAAAAAATGACTTACTATGTATATATGAAGAGTATACAGGAGAAGATACAATTAAGTGGTATGAAGTGTCCGAGAATGAGTGGTTTATTTGATATAACATGGGATAAAACTATTCAACTATCTCAAGGAATAAAGAAAAGGGCAATTGTTGTGTGATAGAGAAGAGAGACATGCATTGGGAACTATGAGAAAGGAGTTATCAATAACCTGAATGGTTTAATTTATGTGAAATGAATATTATCGTAACTTGGAATGAAGTCTGAAATCAGATGGGTCAATGACAAAGATATCTTGCATCTTATGTGAATGTTGAAAGACATAAACAAACATACTTCGAGAGCCTGTAGAGGAGTGATCAATTGATTTAAATAGGAAAAGCAAGGAACGTCTAATCGCCGTTTAAAGCCCGGCGGCTATAAGAAACGTCTCTACTACAACAAAAGAATGCGACGCGGCTCTGCGATGGTATCTAGGGAGAGCCTGAGACTCCGCCTACAATCGAAAGGCATGTGGAGCTCAGCACTCTCTCTATCAACCATCACAGAGCACGCAAAGCAACAAACCGGAAACAAACTTAGTTTCCTGAGGGAATGGGCTGACCAACTCTCTGCGTACCGGCACTACCACTACCTCCCCCAAACATTCCTCCTTTCCAGCCAGCTCCACCAAGCTCATCATCGTCATCGTCATCGTTCTTATCGACATTGTCGTTTTCCTCTTCATCCTCCCCATGAAGGCGGAAGAATAATTCCTCCATCTCATCTTCATCTTCCTCGTCTTCCGGATCGCCACCGGCGGCGACACGCTCCGCAATCCGCAGATTGCGGAAGGTCTCGACCAAGGGAGCCGCAGCAATACGACGAGCGATCCGGCGTTCTTTGGCTTCTCGTGCTTTGCGACGAGCGCGATACGCCGTCCGGCGTGCCTTTCGGTGCGCCAGGTTGGTTTCCGACTCCTCTTTGGTTCGGGCTATATATAGAACATGATTAGCCTGGCTCATTTTTGATTCTGGGGTCGTGGAATTTTCAGGATACTTTGGGTGGAAGGATCAACTTACGTCGACGAGTACGGCCGACAAGACCCGTGAACATCTGATGCTCACCGGCACCCACACACCCTCCGAAAGTAGCAGCTCGGCTAACTTCCTCTCCCTCTCCCTCTCTATCCACTCCACCAAACACCCCAGTACTCGGACCAGGACGGGCTCCCACGGGACCCTCCCTTGCTCTCGCCCTCTCCCGACCCTCTCTCTCCCCCTCCAATTCCTGTTTATCTCTCAACGCTATGATGGTACCATTTGTTAGCATCATATCATGAATTTAAGGCTTTCAAGCCATTTATGATACACGAGAATCGCGTCAAGACGTCTCCACGTATGAGCAATATTCTTATTTTAGTTCAATTCATGATCGAAACACAATATATAGAAGCGCTCCTCCCTCAGTGCAGGTAGTGGCCTCCTATTTACCTTCGAGCCAGCTTAGAGAATGAGATTGAAACCTACAGAGATAATCTGCATGAGCAGACGCTGCGCTTTGCACGCGAGCAATTCTCCTTTCCTCTTCTCTGGCCCTCCTTGCCATCTCCTCCTCACTTGTACGAGTTTTCTTTGGAATGAAACGTCTGTCGCGCGGCATTTTGATTGATTCAACAATGCTGAATCACTGGTACTGAGTGTTTGTAAAGGAGGTTAAATCGTATCAATGAATTCGATAGTATCAGCGTGAGGACAAGAAGCGTGAGGACAAGATGTGAAAAGTCGCGTACAGATCTTGTTTATTTACATCTCAAATTAAACGATTCGCGTAAATGGGATGAAAACTTCACCAGTATCGTCCAATCTAACGTCTATTCTAACGAAAAACCAGGTATACCTTCGGTAAACACAAGACACCCCACTTATTCTAATAGCCTTAGCTCATTACTCGCGAAGTTACTTATATCCTCCCTATGATTGAAAAAGCGCCACTAGCTGCAGAAAGGAATTCTTGAAACAACAATTGAGATTCCCAGGGATCAGGAGCCTAGCTTCGATTATCTGCCACTAAGCCGAGCTCAACGTTGACTTGTGTAGCAGTACAATTCGCCTGCATCTCTGGCACCAAAATTCAAGTCGTATGGCTAGATACCGCTATGCCGTTACAGATTTTGCGCACGAGGGATAAAACATGCAGATGCGGGAGAACAGTTTGGAACATATCAAGGTAAGAGAAACTAACCAACGCAACATCAAGATTGGGGATAGAGGTCAAAATCTCGAATGATCTATGATGGGGGGTCCGAATTCGCAAAATTTCTTCTTAGCTTGTCTAGTTTCTAGAGGGAGAAACGAACACCGATGAGTGATCAAACGGGTTCCCACAACGTGTGAACCTCTTCTCTTCAGCATGCCCGGATCTTGAATTGGATCTCTCTCAAGAATTTGACTTTCACTAACTACTTATTACTTGTGATTCCCTTCCTGACGCAAGTATCTGAGCCTTTGCTCTTATAGTAATGACACTGAATGTAGCGCGCATTTTCGATACTGTATAATCTTGGCTAGACTCTTGTGCTCGTTGACTGCCCTGGTACACGACAATGCTTGTAACTTTCCAATATTCACACAGTTCCATTACTGTGTGCACCAGGGATCATGGACAAAGAGAGTTGCTGCTTAGGTTGTAGGTTCTAGGTTCATAATATGTCGTTGGTGAAAGTGTTTGTCACCCAAGTGAGTAAGCAAGCTGTGAGTAAGCAAGTGAGGCCCTTGACTAAGCCAACCTTACACATTTCAACCTCACCTCATTACCAACTATTTCACAATCCGTACGTTCGTGCTTTGATTTGTTCGAAGACAGCTTGAAGCTACCTTTACTTCTTCATGATCCAGCAAGTGAAGATCTACGTCTCCGAAAAAACATCAATCCCTCCAGTGGATTCTGGTACTGCTTGAATGTGAGCCCTTAGGATCCATCGGAATCTCTGCATTCCTACCATTTATATTCAGACCCTGTTCAACTTGATCTGATGCTCCAGGCCATTCCATTTCTTGTCAAGTCATTTGAAATGCTGAAGAACTTTCATGGAGTGGCTAGTGTTCCTGATTGGAGCTTTGAAACTTATTTACCCTGTGTCGTTGTCTAAATCACACAAAGACATCTCGGGATGTTACCAGTGTACACATGAAGATACGATATACGTCTAAATATCTTTCATTAGCGTTGGTTTTGCAATTACACTGCCTCGTTTTCGCAACCTACATTAACAAAACATGCGGAAGTCTACCATTGCCATAGACATTTTTGGTAATTCAGTTCATGAGTAAAGCGCGACTGCATTTTCTTCTCTTCTTGCTATTTGATTTGCCAATTTTGGAGAGTGATTTTTAATGCCTGCTAGATTCAGAGGTGCAGATGAGTTACTTGAGTTTGAATCATAAATCTCGGTCAATGATGGTGTAAAAATAGTCATTTAGCCTTCTCAAATACTCATGTTCGTTTACCCGAGTACCCTTCGCTTACTGTTTGTGGTTGCATGCGGTGCCCAAGGAGCTGGCTGACCTGAGGATTAGTAGGTCCAGCCCCTACCAAGTGGGAGCCATGCACATTCGTGTCTACGAAATAAAAGTCCGTTTTCAATTCTTGACTTGGCTGTATCGACTTCACCTCATGCATCCCTATATAGAAGTTTCTTTTCGCATAGGTTTCAGACCGTGGTTCGATAAGGGCTCCATCTTTTTCCACCTAGATTTTGTACCTGCTATTATATCTTCGCACGTTGTCATGAGAGAACTTGAGGTCGGTGAGCTTCGGTCAATTATATATAGCGAAATATTCGCTTAATTTTTGATATACTTATACTCAAACATGCTAGTACTCTACAACAAACTTATAACCGCATCACGCAGGCCTAGTAGAGTTGGTAGCATGTGGTACTGGGGGGAAAACAAGTTGTCGTCTGTCATGTGGGTTTAACTCCTTCCGATGTAGCCCGGTTCCCGTCTGTCTGAGTGTTTACACAATGGCGACCCGTCCCTGTGGTAAGACTGTTCATCGGGCGCTTCTTGTATGTGGGCCGTAAAAGATAATTCAAACCTTTTTTTTTTGGATTTCTTTTATATCGCAGTTCGCGAACACCCCTTTTTTTTCGCCTCTGTCAAGCAATCACATTAAAGATATCTCTTCCCTATCACGCGAGCTTTTGCCATACTTCAGGTTGAAGCACAGGGAATATTCTACCGCAATCGGTCGGGGAGATCTGCAATCTACGAGTTCAACAAGCTAATCAGATTATATTTTAGCAGGAACAGGAAACCAAGATGTCGAAATGAAGGACATTGGCGGCTCAGCAGAGGCCACAGACAATCAGGATATGAAGATGAAACAAAGCGGGCGTCCAACACTGAGCGCAGGTAACTTTAACTCTCCTGTTCCTGAGATTACTATGTCAGCTAATAATATTTGCGTGTATAGAGCAAATATCGGATCCTCGAGAGAGCCGTCGGGCGCAAAAAATAAACAAAAACAAGAAGCGACTAGCTAGACGGGAATTTGAAAAAAGGTTCGAAAAATTAAGCATTGCGACGAAGGTGCAGAAGAAGAATGAACCAGAGGAGGAACGGAAACACAAGGGGATCGAGGAACATTTGGCGATGCTGAATATGAAGGAGGGCGAGGATCAGAATAAGGGTGGAAAGGGAAACAAAGATGGAATGGGTGGAAGTGGATGAGCTGCAGCGCAGGCTATGATGGTCTAGTGATTCTGTTAAACGTGGAAGGAATATTCTAGATATATCGACTATTCATATACTCAAACATCTAAAAACATCAAATATAAGCTTCAGCGCGACTCAAAATCATCAAAACAGACCCTCCGTACTAACCCTCTACAAAGGCGGCGCATTCGGATCCTCCAAACACTGATCTACCCTCATCAACTGCTTCCCCGTTTTCTTCGCAATGGCAATAAACTGCGGCAGATAATCCACCGTCGTCTCATACAAATAATGCATAACGACCAGATTCCCCCCTTTATCCACATCACTCTGAAAATTCACAAGTTGTTTTTCAGGCGTATCACTCAACGCCCACAACCAATCCTGCACATCCACAGACCACTCCACGAATTTCGAGCCCGGGATCAGAGCCGCGAGTCGTTGACGAATACGCGCGCCTTCGGTGCCAAAGGGCGGTCGGAAATACGTAGATGTGTGGCCTGACAGCGTGGATGATACGGCTGCGATGTCGTTGCTGAGTTCCCAGTCGATAGATGCGAGGGTGGGGAGTCCTTCCATGGGTGGATGCGTATAAGAGTGGTAAGCGACTTGGTGGCCGAGATTTAACATGTTGGAATACACGCTGGAGAGGTTGGTGGAGGCGTCGAGGAGGGCGGCGCCGACGGTGAAGAATGTTACGTGGATACCTGCTGCGGCGACAGAGGAGACGACTTTTTGTGCAAGTTGTGGATCACCGTCGTCGATGGCGAAAGCGAAGGAATTGGGGCGGGTACAGGAGAAGATTAGAGGTGCAGTGGGGAGTTTGGATGGGACGAGGAAATTTGATGGGACGGAATTGACTAGTTCAATTTTGGATATGATGGTATTGTCGGAGGTGTAGAAACCTTTTAGTGCGAAACCGACGCTGAGTTTGCGATCGATCTCGAAGTGAGAAATTGGGATGTAGAGGTCGGTCTTTGCAGAGTTCGAGTATCGTGATGCTTCTACGGAATCCCATGTAAATGGGAATGGGTTGATATTTGGATTACATGTAGGATTGTGTTGTTGAAGCGCAATGGTGAAGGCGTTACTTCCGGTAAAAGCGATGTGAAGATATCCATTATCGTTTGGAGTAAAGTCGAGGCATCCGTTCGAGATTTGAGTATACCAGGCTAGGTCAGAATTACCTTTGGTATTGATGGTCAATTTGTTACCAGATTGTTTGTAGGTTGTTGTATCATCTCCCCCATGATAGAAGCCGAGATTGTTAGAATCCGCACTGCCGAAAGTATCGATCACATAGGCCGAAGGTCCAATTGTCGCCGAAATGGTGGAAGATGGTTCAATTACCGGAACAGTGGTAGGAACAGGGTAAGCTACTCCTGTGCTTCCACAGTAGAATGAAATCGGACCAAGTGTGATCGGGTTACTGATCCCAGAAAACAGAAGTGAGATCAAATGATCCATGTCAAGACCTGGGAATTTAGAGAAAGGAATGGTATAAAACTTCTCGGTTCCGTCAAAAGTCCATCCCAGGTCCCCGGACGAGACATCGATGAGTGTAGGATTGCTCGATTCGCAAGTCTTCGAAGTTTGCATTTCAATGCCTAAGGTTGTTCCCTTTGCCGCCTTGATGGTCAACCCAATTCCACCATATATATTGGTTGCTTTCAAACAACCAAACATGGTGTACCAGTAGGAAGATCCATCTGCTAGAGATGTCAAAGTAACATGATTATTAGCCACAATGACAGAGGTAGCAGTGTCTACTCTATTTGACACCGGTGACATGGTACCATCATCGGAAGAAGGTTGCAGCATGGCATTGTAGAATAAGAACGTCAAACGAGATTGAGATGCAAAGTCATCAATCAACAAGTCTGTACAAACACTAGTTGATGTGGTCGGGACAGTAACTACTAATGTTGAACTGCTCCTAACAACGGCACTTTTCGTAGATGTCGTACTCGAAGTCGAGATCGAACTCGATGAGGCTCCAGCTCCATTTGCACAAACGAAATTTGTTTGACCTATCTCCCAAGCGTCATCGGCACTAAAAGACTCCCATAAAAGCCCCGAAATTGCATTCAAATTGGCTCCAGGGAAAGCACTTAATTGCACTGTAATAGTCTGAGTAGCTCCAGTAATTCCGGTGATAGTCGTGTAATAACTTTTGTACGTAGTCGCCGTACATGAATTCATGGTCTGCAGCTCGAGCGTGAAGGAAGAGCCTGCAGGACCTTTGATCGGAAATGTGATTGCGTTGTATTGATCTGTTGTTGCTTTCTCGCAACTGAAGGTCGTATAGAAGTAACTATTGGCCTTACTGGTGAAAGTAATTTTCTTGTTTGCGACATCAGCTTTTAAGTTGGTGGTGGTACCATCGTCTGTTCTGACTTTTAGAAGTGGTACGAAAAGCTCCAGGGAGTCACTTACCACTTGTCCATTGACCAAGAGAATTAGTATTACTAGCAAACTTTGCATAATTATCAATTAATAGATTACTTGAACAAGCAGCTCTCACAACCACAGCGTAGGAGATCACTCCCCACACTATATTACCGAATGAGAACCTCATTATGTTCACTCAACAGTTCGAACAATGAGATATCTAAGAGGAAATGAAGACCAAGAAATTGGTAGAATCTTGATAACGAAGGGACGCCGACAACGATTGAACGTGTCGAGCTGCTAATACTCTTATATAGAATGAAAAGGAAAAGCTGAAAGGTGCTACGACATGACATGAGAGAAATATGTGACTACTTAACATTGTTCCAATCCGAAATCTTAGTCAAGATAGTGGACATTCTTGGCTTGCATGCAGTATATTTGCAAGTGCGCAGAAGCCGTCGCTCGGTCGTAACTTCCCTTAGTGATCTTTATACCACCCATACACCAATTTCCATATAATAAACCAGCCCCAAAGACCCCCAAGAGATCAAAAGAAAGCAACATTCATCCCACATCCCAACACATCCCACCCCAACCAAATCAAGTAAACACATTGAGGTACGAACATCTTGGCATCTCGTATCGTAGCTCACACCCCACATTTTATATGCTGATCTTCGGGTCTTTGACGCCACACAGCATTGACGCATGAGGCTAATAATTCTCGGCTGAAAGATGCACGAATGAAAGGGGAGGGAAGGGGGTTTCGCTCGGATAGGTCGATTGAGATTCATTTTTGTTTTTTTCGTCTGAGCATTAATGTAAGCGTCATTGTACCCCTGATTCAAGATCATATCAACGTTCTAGATGTTTAGGATGTTTTATTGATTTCAACATCTTCTCATGCAATAGTTGGATTTCCAATGCTCATTTATCTTCTCATAAATCCTATGCCACTTCACTTAATCATCATCCACGTCATCTCAAAACACAGAAAATAATGGGAGAGCCAGAATGAACATTTTTGGACTTGCTCCGCTCAAAAGTTCAAAAGCCAAAATATGAAAGTATCCATTACATTGATCGTATCTAATCTACACACCGTTGCCCTGAATCTACTCGGCCAACTTCAACAACCCCTCCAAATTAATACTCTTAGGTCTCTCGATTGGCAGTCCCAACGCTCTATCCCAGATCAACTGTGCCAATGGTCCCAAACCTCTACTAACACCAAAGGTCGCGGTATAATAGAGCGTCTCATGGAAACCATAATGATGGAATAGAACACCAGAGCTAGAATCTACATTTGGATACGGATTTTTCGTTTTTCCATGTTCTTTTAATACTGCTGGGGCAATCTCAGAGTTCTTCTTTACGAGTTTGAAGACAGGGTCTTTAGCAATTTCTGGTCGAGAGGAGGCGTAATCCATGAGGGCTTCGAAACGGGGATCGGGCTTGCGAAGAACAGCGTGGCCGTAGCCGGGTACGACACGACCGGATTTGAGGGTTGTCCATAGGTAGTCGGATACATCTTTGTCGGTGAATTTCGTTCCTACGTGTTCTTGCATTTGCAAGATCCATCTAAGGACTTCTTGTGCGGCCAGACTATGAACTATTAGTGAGGGGAAGCTCAACGGAATATCATCATACATACCCATGGAGAGGTCCAGCAAGACCTTGTAGGCCAGCACTGTAACTTAAAAAGGGATCACTCAGAGCACTTCCTACCAAGTGAGTGGCATGCGCGGAAACATTTCCACCTTCATGGTCACCATGGAGAGCCAAATATAATCTCAACAAGTCTTGGAAGTTCTCGTTCTCCTTGCCTCCTTTACCGAGCATGGCTGCGAAATTGTATGACCAATCTTGTTCCAGATCAACCTCTGCTGGGAAGGCTCCACCACCCCTGTATGAATTTTGATAGATTTTGGCAGCAATAACAGGAAGTTTTGCCAAAAGGGAGATGCTATCATCAAAGGTCGGCTCCCAATAATCCGCCTTGTTAACACCCTTTTCATATGCTTTGGCGAATTTTGATGTATGGGAGAGTGCTGAAACGGCAATGGCGAATTGAGTCATTGGGTGTAAATCTTTTGGAAAGTTATCGAGCATCTTGTTAACAAAGTCGGGCAGAGCTGATTGCTCTGCCAGTTCCTTGGAAAATTGTCTGACTTGGGAGGTGGAAGGGACCTGGCCGGTCAAAAGTAGCCAGAACATAGCTTCTGGGAGCATCTCTGTACCACTTGTTCCCTTCGGAAGCTCATTTTGACATTCCTTGATAGTTCTGCCATGGAATCTAATGCCCTCATTGGCATCTAAGACGGATCCTTCCCATACCATAGCTTTCAATCCTCTGCCATTGTGTTAATATCTACACATTTATCATGCCATTGAAGTTCTGATCGTACCTCATTCCGCCAATTGTGTTCTCGATTTTAACCTCCCCAATGACCTTGTCCCCTTTTGCCTTGACCTTCTTCAACAGCTCCCGCTTCGCTGGAATGCACTCCCTGAAGGTAGTCTTGAGATCTGGTTCGGATGATATGGCATAGTTTCGATGAGCTGGGACAGCTAAAGTACGAACAACGACAGGCTGCAACGATATCAGCATTGGCATAACACAGTGAGATGAACAAGACTTCATACTCGCAGAGCTCTGAATGCCTGCGAGGCGGTTCTGGCGTTCATGGACATATTGTTTGATGTAATTGAGTTCAGGAGCTCGGATGGGGTATTCGCGGGGCAAATTCGCGGGGTAAACTCAATTAGAGTACTGAAGGTTACTTTACTTGAAGGAAGGTCAGTAGTGAAGTGAAGCAAGACGAAGAAGGAATGTATAACTCACATTATAATTATAATCTTTTAAGGTGAAATGTAATTGGAATTTCGAGCAGTATCAGTATCATCAAGAATTAAAGGAAATACCTATACTTGTATGGGAAGAAAATGTTGTGAATGCATTCCCATCGGTAACTCAAAGTTTATGCCGAGGATAAACGGAACAGTAACAATTGACCAATCATATCACGAAAGATGAGATTGATAAAAGTATGGGGGGTGGCTTAATCACAGATTCAAAGCCTGGCCTGCTCTAGGCTAACTACAGTGAGAGTGAATTTATATTCATGGACTATGGCCACACCAGATGATCATTAATGAACAACCGAACAAAACCGAAGATGTTGGTTGACTTCACCCCCCCCGATGACGGGCATGACGTGGAATCTCTTGCTTTGATGAACAACAATAACACAGGTAGGCGCATGTATAAGTAAAAATTCTGATATTCTTTTTCACCTCATATACGCCTTATCAAAATGTTTCGCAGAATTGCTTATGTAGCACCTCGTAGAGCTTTGACTACCAGAGCTTCAATCATTACCACTCGGCATCTATCTGCCTTAAGTTGTAGGATGTCTGTCTTGAAAGCTCTTAATGACCCAATATCGAGACCTCTAGCATCTGATTCATTTCAGCTTGTACCAGAATCGCAGAAAGCCGGCGCGGCCGAGGACCAATTATACGAACAACAGATTAAGGAAGTGGAAACATGGTGGAACAGCCTAAGATTTGAAGGAATTAAGAGACCATACTCTGCGGCAGATGTTGTATCGAAGCGCGGAAGCCAGCAGCAATCATATCCAAGTTCTGTTATGGCCAGAAAGTTATTTAACTTATTAAAAGAGAGGGAGGCAGAGGGGAAGCCGATACACACAAGTAAGATCCACCATCAGCCTTGATGTCTCAACGACCGAATCTAATAGATTCATAGTGGGTGCCATTGATCCTGTACAAATGACCCAACAAGCTGCAAATCAGGAAGTCCTGTATATTTCTGGCTGGGCATGTTCCTCTGTTCTTACAACCACAAACGAAGTATCCCCGGATCTTGGTGACTATCCTTACAATACTGTACCCAATCAAGTCCAACGGCTCGCAAAGGCGCAATCGATGCACGATCGAAAACAATGGGATGCGAGAAGAAATATGAGTAAAGAAGAGCGGGCAAAAACACCATACACGGATTATTTAAGGCCGATTATCGCAGATGGAGACACTGGACACGGCGGGCTCTCTGCTGTATTGAAGCTTGCGAAACTGTTTGCAGAGAATGGGGCTGCCGCTGTGCACTTTGAAGATCAAATGCACGGTGGGAAAAAATGCGGACATCTTGCTGGCAAGGTTCTAGTGCCCGTTGGTGAACACATCAATCGTTTAGTGGCTGCCAGATTTCAATGGGATGTTATGGGCTCAGAAAATTTGGTCATCGCACGAACGGACTCCGAGAGTGGCAGACTTCTTAGCAGTGCGATTGATGTTCGGGATCATGAATTTATTAAAGGCGTTACAGAAGACGGCATCGAATCTTTAGCGGAGACCTTACAGGCCATGGAATCATCTGGAGCAACAGGCGCTGAAATTGATACATTTGAAGCTGAGTGGGTCAAGAAAACAGAACTCGTGACATGTGATGAAGCCGTTATCAAGCAATTGAAAGAACAAGGTGTGGCGCAATCGACTATCAATGAGTACCTTGAGGCCACTAGGAAAGATCGAAATATGTCAATCACGAGACGCAAGCAGCTTGCTTCAACATACAGCAATAAACCAATTATATTCAATATCGACATACCTCGGACACGGGAAGGCTTTTACCATTACAAAGCTGGTATGGAAGCTGCCACCAAACGAGCGATTCAATATGCACCATACGCTGACCTCCTGTGGGTTGAAACCGGAGATCCAAACGTCAAGAACGCAGCACAATTTTCAGGGGAAATTCGTGCCAAATACCCGGGTAAGGGACTCGTCTACAACCTTTCTCCTTCCTTTAACTGGATGGGCCAAGGTTTCACCGATGAAACTCTGAAATCTTTCATTTGGGATATTGCGAAGCATGGATTCGTTTTACAACTGATCTCACTTGCCGGGCTTCATTCTACTGCGACAATTACGAATGAATTATCAAAAGCGTTTAAGGATGAGGGTATGCTGGCATACGTTAATTTAATCCAGAGGAGAGAAAAAGAACTCGGGGTGGATGTTTTGACACATCAGAAGTGGAGCGGTGCGTCGTATATTGATGGGATACTGGGCGCTATTCAGAGCGGTAGTAGTAGTAGTAAGAGTATGGGGGATGGGAATACTGAAGGTCAATTTTGAGGTTTGTAGAAAATAGATATACCTGATGGGAAGATTTCGGGTTAATTCTACCCATTGAAGTGTCCTTCTACCATTGATTTCCGAGCCATATATTGTGAATCTCAACATCAATATGTTCAATTGTGATACTTGTAGTATAATATATTAGTCCAAGTGGATATATAGTTTGAACAAGTCGAAATCTTCGAGCACTCTATTAATTACTCGAGTACATGACATGAGATAAATCCAATGCTCAAAAATTGTTCATTATTCATTATTCATTATTGTATACCGGAAGCTACTCGTAGAAAGACTCGGCTTTTAGGACTCAGGAGATTTTAGATAATGATACTTGTAGTTTGTGTTCAGTTTATTTGTTTATGATTATGATTATATTTATGATTATTTTGTTTGAGTGTATCATGTCGAATTTACGAGTAATTGGATCATGACTCTAGAACTACACTATGGGCCTATTGCAGGCAGTTTAACATGTTAGTGTGAGTGAGTGGGGTGTTGGATGTTGGGGGGTGGGGGGTGTTGATGGTAGTGTGGTGTTGAAAGTAGTATTGAAGTAAAGTATAATTACTCAGTGGTAAGCTATGAGAAGGAAGTGGTTAGAGCTTGGGATTAACGGCCAAATACAGGTAGGTATGTACGGGAAAATCCGTTGAAGCGCTTCAATCCTGAAAAGTCCCAGAATACCAAAATACAAGCTTCAATGTGTGACTAGACTAATTAACCAAATATGATTTTTTTAGTCGTATATAGCTAGCGGTTAATGTTATTATTGTATTCGACTAATAACCTCGAGGAAATTTGAAGGGGGGATGGGAATCTACTGGTTATGTACCGGTACCTGTCTGTCGTTAGAAATGCGTTGGGCATGGTATTACTGGACCTACCTTGGCATTTTCCTGTTCGTTGATTACACGGCGGAATATCGTATCGGAGCCGTCTACTTGCCAGTATTGTATTCAGTCATAGTATTGCCAGAATAGTTACACTGTTCGAGTACGATTGGTTTGGTCTTGCCTGATTTAGATGAAACGATTGAGAAAATAACCTATCTGTTACTGATATCTTAACCTCCATGTCTCAAATTCTCAATCTTAGAGCCCCTAATCTTTGTCCTTGGAGTATCCTCGTAAGACTCAAGTCTGTGTTATGATCGATCCTTGTTATGGGTTTTGGGTTTTGGGTTGTGGATCTATAATCCCCTCACACTAACTTAGTACTCATGTAGATAGGATAGGTCAAACTATTACTATTCCAAATGTTTATGCCCGTGGTATCGTGGTTAAAATTAATCAAGCAAGATTTTTCCACTCCCATCCCATCTCGTTTCTCAATTCCTCTGTACATACATAAATTGCACCGTCTTTCTTCGCATTTTTATCCCGACCATACCATGACTAAAAGCATGAGTCTGACTCAAGAGTTGGAAACTTCCAAGGGGAGATCTATACACTCCCCCCTCCCCCCTAAAGTCCTATTCTGGACAGCCCATCCTCCCCATCACTTGCAGCCGAAGCTTTCCTCCTGCGATTCCTATCTGATTCACTTGAAGTCAAGTCGGGTAGGAATGACTCGCTTTGCGGGAGCATGTTTACAGTATATAGGCTGATCCGGACAAACACCGCTGAAGGCTCTTCGAAAGAGTAATAATAAGGTGTTCACGATACTCTGCTAAAGTCGGGAAAATAGCGGTAAACGAATTTCGCGAGGGAGGACATGCATGAATATATTCAGACGCACATCTCAATCTCAACAAAACTATATGGAGAGAAAAGGCAGTAGAGACTTCATCGATCGAATAGCAGACAAGTTGAAACTTACGCGGAGATTATAAGGGCATGGCAAAATAGGAAGTATCTCTTTGAGTTTTATTCAAGAGAGTTTTGTAGTAGATTAGTGATATGTAAGTGCTTTTCTTCGATACAAGAGACTTTAGCATCGTTTAGATCAATTTAGTTGAGCGAATTTAGGGGATTTTAGGCCTCCGGGGCAGTGTGTCCAATAGTCCGGACTGTAGGACATACTAGGTTTTTTCAGATGGCTAGTCAAGCTAGCAGTCCAATATAAAAGCAGATTACCTGATGTATTGATATTTTGAAGCTAGATTGATTGTACTGCGGTCTAAGCGACCTACCGGTAAACTAGTCCTGTAGTCATTGTATCACCATACAGAATGAAGGTTTGATGATATGAATATAGATAATTAGAATTTTGAGAACATATTTATATCAACTAGTTCAAAAGTCTAAATATTTGTTTACACTTTTACATTTTAGAGTAGCTAAATAATCATTTTTATTTCAAATTTACTGTAGTACTCTATCTAATCTAATTTAATCATAGACCAGCTATCTAGACTGCCATACGGACGAAAGACTGCAAGACTATTGGACACACAGGAACTTTAGGGGCGGAAATAGAGTAGCACATGTCAGAATCACCCAAACTCCGTGACAAAACCAACATAACTCCCATATTTCTCCTGGTCGACAACTTCAGTCGTGCAATACCGGCTATTGGGATTATAGATGCATAGATATTGAGAATAAACCTCGCCACAGGGATGGGAAGGGAAATTTTCGTGGACTCCAGTTCACGGGGATCTTGTCACATGGCAATCCATAACTCTCCGCATGTGGCACCAGTATTATTATCTGTCCTACCGCACACGCGAGAAATAGCACCATGTTTACACCTATCCCATTGCATATATCGAATTGGAGCCACTAGTTATGGTAGGCCTAAGTAGTTGCAAATAGAAGAGAAATAATATGAGCTTAGCAGCCGCGAGTATAAATCTCGAAAGCCAGTTTCAGACGAATACTTTCTGACATACGACGAGCTTACTAGTATTGCAATATTTATGTATGAATATAAACATCGTTATATACTAGACAGGTCCCAAGCTTGAGCTGGCTGGCTAGCGAAGATGTTTGATGTTTGAGGGGATCGAAAAACGCGTTGGTACTTACCCATGCGAACCAAAGGCTGATGGATTGCAGAACTGATAAATCCCAGCTATGAAGACCAAAGTTTCCTATCTTTATGCCTGCTGATTTGGGGTATCTTTCATACTCACAACTCCGTTGATGTAGTGTACAAATGTGCAGAACCGAATGAACCATGTTCATCACTAGCAAGTGTATTTTCCCTCAGAGATTTTCTGAAGTTTAAAGTAATAAAATTTCACGTACAGGGGCAGAAATGCAAGTTGCTACATAATCTAACAGTCAGCTCAAGCTCATAGTCTAAACAGAAAGCGGGACTAGGATTGCCATTGTCTCACGTGAGTTGGCGTATGATTCGAAGCTTGGTAGTCATCGGATCCCTACGGATAGTGCAACAAATGGCAGTAGTATGCCACCGGCGATGATAAAACTTTGCTCCAAGTGAGGGAGGAGTCACAAAGTTAGATGTAATACCTGCTCGATAGGGGTCTGAGCTAGAATAGAATTTGGAATTTCATCTGTCGTTCTGTCAAGTGACATGACTCGTATAAAATCCTTGGGTATTGCAATGACTTTGATGATGGGCTGCTTGTAGATTGTCAGCGAGGAATGAAACCTATGTGTTATTAGTATCTATTGTGTGACAAGTACCGGCATATATTTACTGAAGGAACACTTCGAACCGTGTGTGCATCCCTCTCCTTTAAAGAATTATCGTCGAGAAATCGAGCGGTGCAGCGATCTTCAATCATAGAGCCTCAATACATGCAACTACCATCCACTGTGATAGTGCAATGCCGTACTGCATAGGAACCAGATTATGAGAAGTGGCATGGAGGGGATCCAGGACGATCGTATACCGGTATAATTAAGGGTGGGGCGTGGTGACTTATCCTCTAGAGTGTGCTTGTCTTCTAGCAAGGTGGCCCGTGCAGAAATCTCAATCGACCAGCTTTCGAATTTCACTATCATGAAAAGTTGTAGTACAAGATGGTCAGGATGTCTAATCTGAGTTTCTATCAGGCTACTTAGAAATTTCTGTGATATTTCTTATCGTTAGTTTTGTACAATTTGTTGAAGAAGTTGATATCTTTGGGGCTGGTCGCTTAGTCGATTTTAGCGTACAAGACACTTCTGTTAGGTGTTAGATTCCAACATTAGAACTAAGTACCTGCATGTGCTAGTCAGCGGTACAGAAACCTTCTATGGAAAGTTCCCATCTGCCCCAGAATATATCCACATAGGATTGATTGGATGCCCATATTTCTACAATCCTCCATCTCTAGATGCTCACTTACTTTGTATCTGAACTTGTCGACCATTAAACATACACGAAACCAGGAATGCCTCAAATTTTGTCAGACAGTATTTCGTCTACAGATTTTGATGATTTGGAAGCTAGGAGGCTCGAAATCCAGAGATTTCTCAAAGCAAACGTCGCGTCCGAAGTCAGGAACGGGAGGATACTGAATGGAAGATTCCTCTATTACAATGGTATATTCATACGTGATTGTACCGAGTTGTACCCCTTTCAAATCAGCTAACGAGTGGCTATTAAGGTTGGAAATCCATGAATTTACAATCGGCATTCAAATCGTCTATCTTTGCAGTCATGGCCCAAATATTTTTCGGAGAGATGGGTAAGTCCGCATACTATATAAGATTTATTTCTCCAGCATTGATTTGGCCCTATATGTTACTGACTTTTGGTACCTTTCCAAAGCTACTGAGCCAGAATTTGCCGCGGCGTTATCTCGATATCCTCGAGATCTAGGGCTCTCCGCGTCTACGAAACAATACGCTCCTCGTGTCATAGCTCCGTGAGTTTTTAGCATTTACGATTTCATAATCGACGGAGCTAATGTTGAGACTGTAGAATCATTGAATTCATAATGACGAGGAATGAAAGCGCAAAGCAAACTTTAGCTCGACGGTTGACGCTTGTAATAGATCAATCGAAGACAACGAAAGTGGTAAGCACTGTCACCATGTAATAGAGTCGAGTAAGTCACTGACAAAAGTCATAGCATGGCGTCCTTCAAAGTTTGATCACATCTGCAAGATCGAAAGCAGACGTATCATGCCCATCAATGGCGCTCGCTGAAACCATTCTCAATTTATGGTTGATTGCGTCTCATCAATCATTACTCGTGAGCGGGATTGTTTCCTTATTATGGGATATTTGACTGATAACCAGCGGCAGGTACTTGTTTACACTGTCTTCCGAGCCTGTACTCGAATACTGGATGGCGAAAAAATGAGGAGAGAAATCGGAGACCAAGACCAGCGTACCTGCGATAGCTTAAATAGTCTACCTTTGCTGCACAAATTTATGATGCAAGCGATCGAAGACAACTGTGAGTTATAAAGCACATGAAAAGAAAGGGTCCATGCTAAAAATTTCTGCAAGCTTTCATCAAAGGCAGCATATCGGCAGACTTGTTGCCAGAATCACAAGGCGAGTCCAAAAGTGTGATGTCTTCATCACTGACCGACACCGACTTCAAAGCGTGAGTTTTACACTCATCTTGAATTTAAATAAATCTAACATATAACAACAGTGCGGCGAAAACGAGCAGGCCTCTTGTGTTTCTCGCTGCCAAGATAACAGTTTCTCATTTCTTGACTAATTTCAACGCCCGAATTGCAGAAGAGACATCGTTACATCTGAAAGATAGTGTGGGTAAAAGCCTGCAGGCATCGGAGATCAGGATTCTTGTTCGTGATAGACACTATATTGAGGAAAATTACTTGTAGTTATCATACATAGCACATAGTGGCAGTTGAACACGGTATTATTTTGCGACTGATATGAGAACTAATTCTTCCAAATTGTCTAAATTATTTTTAGACAACCCAGTTCGGATGTGGAGATGGGGTGGCGCGGATGGTAGCCGGCCGCCGTGGTTATCAATGCATGATTATAGTGGGACTACTGTAATCGTTGTAGAGGGCTTAGCCCGATTCGCTCCTTAACCTCCTAGTTAGTAAAAGAAATCGTATGTTCTGAAATACGATTTCTATCTCGTTAAGAAAAACCTGATCTGCATCGCAATCAGGGGTACCTCAGTCAACTTCACATTAGACAGTTGCTCAACTGGATGGGTCCAATTAATTTAGTTGGGGACCAACAGTTGGCTAATAGAACTATTCTCAATGAATATCGAAACCCTGAAAATTTATAAAAGTTCTCGGCAAATCATGCAAGTCGTTGGCGAACGGATCCATTGCCGAGGGGTAATGCTATCATGTCTCAAAACAGGGGTAAGCGCCGATCTCATTTCTGAGGTTTACCAACATGTTTGGTACCCACACCATTACCTGCCATAAATTGACTTGTCTTTTCTGAAAACTCCCCCAACCTGGTCCACAATTACTTAAGAGTTGCTTTCCTCGCTCAAACCAACACAGAACCAACTGAAAATGCAGTCCGCCATGCAGGAGCAACATCTGGGTAATGTTCTTGTAGTTGGAGGATGCGGATTTATGGGCCACCATCTCGTGAAAGCCCTCCTCAAAGAGGCTATGATTGGTCAAGTCTCCGTCTTCAGCAGGAATCCAAGAGAGAATAGACATCCAGGTGTTTCATACCATACGGGGGATATCTCATCATTCCAGCAAGTTAGCAGCCTTCTTGAAGAGACCATGCCTCGGGTTATCTTTCATGTTGCGTCTCCGGATCCATATGTCGATCCTCCCAACCACCTTCTCTACCGAAGAGTGAACGTCGATGGCACTGCCAACCTTCTCGCATGTGCCGCAGTTGCGCCTTCCGTTGTTGCTTTAGTGTATACCTCATCTTTGACAGTGTATGGATACGACGACCGTGGGGAAATCTTGAACGCTGATGAGACCCACCATATTCTCAACGGCCCCGTCACCAAAGAAGATCCTTACCCGGCCAGTAAAGCTTTGGCCGATGCCCAAGTTCTTGTCGCAAACAACCCATCCTTTAGCCGGTGCAATTTTGAAGGGTGCTCACATCCACACTTACGCACCGCATGCGTCAGAATTCCCGGTATCTACGGGGAGGGCGATGAGAACATGACAATGCTAGGGCTTCAATTGGCGCGATATGGACTATCTTCTGTGCAGCTTGGTAACAACACCACTTTATTCGATCCAATATATGTTGGAAATGCTGTGTTTGGTCATATGTTAGCAGCAAAAGCTCTTTTGACTGAGCTCCGAATGGACATTGATAATTCTAGAAAAGGAATCAATCCAGTGGTGGAGCAGTCTGGAGACCAAATCTGCGGCGAGGCTTTCAACATCACAGATGATTTACCCTCTCCTTTTTGGTTTTATATGCGCAAGTTCTATGCAGCAGCGGGGTATGAGCCAGGCCCTCGGAATATATGGATTGTCCCCACTTCGCTTGTCTTCTTCATTGCATTGGTCACGGAGTACTTCTTTTGGATTGTGTTTCGAGGCAAGAGAAGACCTCAAATTCTGATTCGTTCGAAACTGGAACATCTTTGCATGAACAGAACTTACAACGTCAATAAAGCAAAGAAAAGGCTGGGATGGTATGCAATTGTCCCTATTGATGCCGCTATTGAGAGTAGTGTGAAATGGGGCCTCGACAGATTGACGGCGGAAAAGAGGAGGTAGGGAAAACCGCCGATCGATATGATCACCGGTGATAACGATAGAGCCTGCTCTGCCTTATATTGTGGTGCAGAATGATGCACGGGACGTAAGAATGAAAACCTTAATCTGGCACTGCATATTTTGCGCGGTAAAATCTGAAGATGATGTCTGTCTACCTAGTGTATGCAACTTCATCCCAAATGCCACTCTGATTCTTCTGAAGTGTGATACACGCAATAATGTAGAATGCCACGGAAGAAGAAAAATTCATTTCTATTCTTAGTTAGATCTGCCATTGATGACTTGAGTGTATTTATGACTGCTTGGTGAAATATTATATAGACAGCATGGCGTCCCATTTGGATGTTAAAGAAGATGCTGCCTCTTCTACACGGAAATTTGTCTTTCATTCTCAGCCATACCATCCTCTTTGAAAGTCTTCATCTCTAACAATGCTATCCGAAGTCTTGCAGCAATGGCTACACAAGATATCCAATGGACTCGAACCCTATCGAGAATCCAATGTTGTCAATGTGTCTCTCTTTTTGTTTGGCGCATATGTAGCTTGGAGTGTTTGGACATTCACTATATTGCCAAAACTTCAACCTGATCGACCTAGAGTCTTGCCATATTGGATCCCGTGTAGGTCATTATTCTCTCGGCTGACAAATCGTGTAAATTGCTAATCTGAATTGCGGAGGATAGTTCTAGGTATATACGTCACATGACTTTCATTGATGAGGCAGCTCCTAGATCTGAGCTAATAACTGCGTAATAGGCCATGCCATTTCTTTCTTCAATGATGCAGATGGAATGTTTTCTTATGGGAGGTAAGCTTCGATATCTCCTTTTATTCAACTGACAGGAAGACATGATGTTATACATGTTAAGATCATGTAGAATACCCCTATCTCGTTCTCTTCTATCGTGATGAAACAAATTAGTCTAAGATATATGCAGAAACTACTTCAAGAACACGCGCGAGCCATTCGCCATTATTGCAGCAGGCGAGACCCTCTATATTATTACTTGCGTTTCTGCTGTATCGGAAGTTTACAGAAACATCGAACAATTGACTTTCGATGACTACATCACAGACATGATGATATCCTTCGGTGCCTCATCCAAAGCTATCAAAACGATGTGGAATCCTCCATCCGCCACCCTCAAAAGACCGGAAGGGGCAGGCCCCGGTAAGCAGGCACTTGCGCATGTCGCAGAAACCCTCATACGTCAGCAACTCCAACCAGGCAAGAACCTTGATAGACTTCAAGACATTTTCTTAAACAGTGTTCATAGATCTATGACCTGGGAGCATATGGCTTCGAAGGCGGTCTTGTCCTCACAGCAGAATATGAGGACAGTGTCACTTCTTGAGTGGACAAGAGAGGCATTACTCGAAGGCGCCACGGAGGCTTTCTTTGGCCCTACACTTTTGGAAATCGAGCCGAAGCTTTTTGAGAGTTTCTTTACCTTCGACGACCTAAGCTGGAAACTTACATATCGAATCCCCTCCCCTTGGTCTAATGATATGAAAGCAGCTAAAGCAACCGCTCAGAACGCCTTGACCAGGTATTTTCAGATGCCAAAGAAGCAGCGCCCTGGTGCTTGCTGGCTAGTTGAAACTCTTGAGACTGAGATGAGAGCGGTAGATATCGAACCGGTTGATATTGCAGCTTATCTCATGATGATTTATTGGGTGTAAGTATTTTATTTTTCAGTGCCCCCACTATCTTCGTTTGTTTTATAGTCCGGAATTGCTAATTGATACCCCGTTTTGTTCTCCAGAATCAACGCAAACGCCTGGAAAGTTTCCTTTTGGATGCTTGCTTACCTCTTACATAACCCCCATCTTCTTACCACCATCCGTGACGAAATTTCTCCGATTCTAACCGCTATACAATCGCCGAATGAACTTGCGTCGTCCTTCAACTCCACCCAGACTCCTAGGTTCCTCGCCCTGTACCACGAAGTCCTTCGTCTCGTCACGTCTTCCGTCTCCGTCCGCAACATCGCTACCCCTGCATATGTTGGCGGTAAACAGCTGCAGCCAGGTGGACGGGTAATAATTCCCTACCGTCAACTTCTGCTAAATGATGAAGTGTTCGGCGGCGATGCGGAAGCTTTTAACCCCGAACGCTTCCTCCGCGACGGATCACTGAGTAACAATCCAAGTTATAGACCTTATGGTGGAGGAACCACATATTGTCCAGGGAGATTTCTCGCAAAAGCTGAGGTTTTAACATGTGTGGCAATCGCAACATGCAAATATGATATGGAGATCTCTCATGGATCTAGAATCTTTCCTCGTTTGGAAGTTAAGAAACCTTGTTTGGGCATAATGGGGCCAGTGGAAGGTGACGACGTTGTGGTCAATATTCGTCGTATGGCTCAATAGTATTGAAACATTTGCGGCCTTGAGCTATAAATTGCTAAGTAAAAGAGAATGCCATCTAAGAGCAAAGTTCTGATTCGTGTGATTTTTTCGTATTTTTTCATCACGATTCCATGTATTGTCCCTAATATTCAAAGCATTAGCCATCTAAGGCGAGAGGAGAGAGATGAGAGGAACCAGAGTGAAGCCTTCAGATCACACCCAAACACAGAATTTAGAATGCAGGGAATACAATTAAGACGTCAACGAGAAGGCAAAATATCCCTTGGTAATCAGCACATTGCCGAAACCTTGTTTTCTTTTCTTTTTATGCCACATCACCCATAAATCTCTACCCATACTATCAATGCCACCCAGATGCAAGCTTAAATCCGCCCGGAGCCCCGCTTTGGAATAAGCCTTTGGGATCATACTTCCTGCTAACAGCTAATAGATTCTCCCGACCTTCTGCTCCGTAAGACGCCAAAGGATTTTGCCATTCAGCTGTATAGTTCAAATATTTGTACGATTAAAAGACGCCGGCTGTCTTTGCCGTCTCCTCAATTGCTTCTATCAATGTTTTAGTTACCGAATTAACTAATGTATCGTCTGATTCATCAGTCCAGGTAACAGAAAAGAGGCACAGCACAAAGTTTCCTGCATCGCTGGGTAAATCAAATGAATTCGTATTTCCTGCGACTGTAACTGGAAGTCGTTGAAAGATAAGTGTATAACCTATCGAAGACACGTTCTGGACCAATGGAGTAGTGGCATTCCATATATTGTAAACGGAAGTGAGTACTGTGAGTGTAGGTCTGAAAGTTGTTGTTACATAGATTCCACTGTTGGTAATTTAGTTAATGGACATCTCAACTGTTGCAGTTTTGTATACGACGAGGGAAGGGGGAACGGCCAGGCTTGCGTTACAGGAAATAGCACATACCGAGACTCTTGCGCTTGAGACGCAGCTTCTTCATCTACGAAATCTAAATGATTCGAAATACGCAAAGTACTTTGAAGTTGACCGCTGATTTTCAAAAACGGTTGAAGAGCTACAGGATCAGCAATCGGTAAAGTATATTCCATACCCATCGAAACTAATTGAATTCCTAGCGTTGGCTCGTAGGCAAAAGCTTGAATTACCGCGGCGTGGGGATCAAATTTTGCCGGGTCCATGAAGTCATTGAAAGTTTGCAGTTGCTGGGGAATGGTGGATTCATTGTAAAAAATAAATCCACCGAGAAAATCCTGTTGCTTGTAGATCTTCAAGTCGAACCTAGTTACGACACCAAAATTATTGGAGCCTCATTTCATAGCCTGGGAAAGATCTGTGTTATGAAAGGCGGAAGCGTAGACAATTGAGCCATTTGCGACGACAATCTCCATGCCTTCTATATTGTCACAGGCCCATCCATATTGTGATGAGAAGAATGATATTCCGCCTGAAATTTGTCAATTATTGCTCTTGAACATGACGAGCTTCTGGTGATTCAAAATGTTAAAAAGCTGCCTACCTCCAGTCAACAATCCGCCAACACCTATTCCAGCTACACGCTCTCCAACAGCTGTAAGATTCCTGGGATCCAGTTTCTCATATATGTTATTCCAAATAGAGCCCGCGCCAACTGAAATGACTTCATAATCCTTGCTAACTGCAGTCGAGTTTAGCAAAGTCAAATCTATAGTAACGCCGCCGTTATCATTTGCTGCACCGGCAAAGGGGGTGTGACCACCACTGCGAATGGCAAACAAAGATGCCTCTGGGTCCGTGGAGTGGATTTTTGCCAAAGCAGCAACGATGATTGACACATCTTGAGAACACGTTGGCTTGACTATACAGGCTGGAGAGAGACGTTCCTGCATCCAGAAGTACGAAAGGATCGAATTTGTGTAGGTAGTGCTCAGCGGATATGATACTTTATTTGGAAGTAGTCGCGACAAGGTAGAACATTGGATAGTCGTAGAAGAATTTGTACCAGTGGTGATCGCGTGTACTAACTTTTGGATGGAACACGTGAGCAAGAACAATACAAAACGAAACAACAATAGCACTAATTTTGACATCTTGCCAATCGTGTAAGAACAGTAGTCAAGCCGCTTAGATAATTAAAGATTTTGCAGAGGTAATAATGGAAGAAAAAAGACAGATAATGATGGTATTTGAGTGAACGAACATCTCAGGGGTCAAAGCAATATGCATAGACGCATTACAACATACCAAGCAAGGTCGTCTAGATCAAGCATGTGGGTAAATAGAATTCTTCCATTCTGTTGGTACAGGCAAGCGATTTCGGGTGTACCTGATGCTTGTATGCATGTATATGAATTAGACTATTTATTTGTCTATACTCATGCCGCCAGAAAGTCCGCAACTCGGGAGACTAAGTGAGCCACTAATAGAACCAATATCAAATACCCCATATAAAAGATTTGCCTCCCTTTTTTCACTTAAAGAATCTTGGAGTAGCGAAATCGTCAATTTCTGATATTGACAAAGTGGAATCTACGATATTTATGAATATTATTGGTTGAATAGCCCCCCTTTTAGTGTACGCAGGAGTGCCCGAGTTGCGGATTTTTGGCGGCATGAGTAGATGCGATCACGCGTGGAAATTGTTGGTGGCAGGGCTCAGGCATATTTTAACCAAGACTTGTAGGAGAACTCCATCAAAAAATCTTGGGGACAGAGAACAACAAACTGATAATTGGAGCTTTCGAAAGCTTTGATACTTCAGTTTGACGGTTTTTATGAAGCTTTTAGAGTGTGAACTCCCACGAGTCCCCAAGGAAGTCTGGTCTTGGCACAACTTACACCAAGACTTTATTCTTCGGCGGGTTGACGACCAACGATAAATTACTCTCGTCCACGCCTGGATGGAACCATTTGCCACCTACGGGCTTAAACTCAAAACGCAAAGCTAGCATGGAACACAACGCCAAAATTTCATTCATGGCATAAAACCTTCCGGAGCACAAATTAACACCACCACCAAAGCCACGGAATGCGCCTGGTTTACCATTTGATCTTATGAATCGATCGGCTTGAAATGCGTTGACATAAGGCCCCCATGCCTCTTCAGAAAAATCTTAGGACCGATTTGGCATGAAGACAAAGGAATCCTTCTTGAGTAGATATTGATTATCGAGGATGGTGTCTTCTAGTACGGTACGAGTTCCTGTTCCATAATTATAGTGTCGCAAAACTTCATGTAGAACAGACCTCATAATAGGAATATCCCTGATCTGAGCGATGTTGATTTTGCGGGTGATTTTGCCGTTGTTCTGTTCTACTGTGACTAATGACAGTACAGCAGCTCGCACTTCTTCTAAGACTTTCTCGTCGGAAAGGACATGATAAATTGTCCAAAAGGCAGTAGGTGTTGTATTGGCGAGTATAGCGTGTCCGTTGCAAGTATCGAGGCGCGATTTGTCATTTATCGAAAGTCCATGCGCATCAGATACTTCCGAACTAGCTTGGACCATATGAAACGCCGTGGCAGGCCCGTCTTCTGCGTAGAATTTCTCAAATCCAGCAACAATATTTTCACGAGCCTTGTATGCCTTTGCACAGGTAAAGCGGGGTAAAGGGAAGGATATAATTCCAACTGCATTGTCTTCGAAATCCCTAAGGACACATTAAATCAGCATTTTAACAAAAACAAAAGAGGTAGAATAGTACACGAATGCTTTTGAAAGAGCGGGATCTTTCAATGGTTTTTGGGTCCGTAAATACTCCCAGTTATGGAAGCCATGTCTATTTCGGTAATCCATTGACCGAGTTCAATCTCTGGGACACATTGCGCCTCCAGTTTGTCGATTAAAGATGCAAGTCTTTGGACGCCTTTTCATGTGATGCTCTGAAGCTGCTCTCCTGGTTTCAATATCTTGTGGAGGTTGGTGATTCCCTCCATGAAGAGGCTCGGCCGTCCGGCGTCTTCCTCTACATTTATATTTCGTGTGAGAGCCCTCGCTGGATGTCCGCGCAAGCCCGCTATCCCGACAGTAAATGTAGCTTCGACATACCAAAACGATAGCTTCTTTGGTGTCTTTTGAATAGCAAGAATGAGCGAAGGTGAATTGATCACATAGACTCGCCTACCTGGCATACCAGGAATGGCTAGCTCATATATTGGTAAATTATACTTTTTACTGCCATTATCAAGCAATTAGTCAAACAATACAACAACGATAGTGTAGGTTGATAGTGCCGAAGTAAATGAATAGAGGAGCAAACCTGAGAGTAACATATTATTCGTATTTCCTTCGAAGAAGTCCGATTGCATGTCCAATGATTGGTATCTTTGGCGAGATGTATGGAGGTTCATTTTCAGCGCGCTTGACTCCAGTCACGTGACTTAAGAAATAGACGAAGCTTAAGATCATCAATGAAGTGAGTGCAAGATTCATCTTGATGGCGTCCATCTTTGCCATCAACTTTTACTACGATCGAACGCAGATGATGATTGATTATTGACCCGGAAAGTTTGTTATTCTAGATCGGTTCTCGCTTCTATCCGATATAATGTACTGCAAAGATGCGGCGTAGTTCCCGCCGAGCCACTGAATTGCTGATTGTGGCGTGGCATTCTAAAGTTGAAAGTTACTTAGTTGTGATCTGATGCTCCGAGTTCCTGCGAGCTTTACAGTACCCCAAGACTTGCAGAGATTTTGCATGGCACCCAAGATACTAATCCATGTACTGTAACCTTACGGGGTATACCTATGTGCATTGTATCCACGGAGCTACTGCTGCTGCTGCCCCATACCAGCTGCGGTCAACGGCCAGAGTATATTGACGTATCAAAATTCATAGCCCGGGGCTAATCTAAAGTGCGGGTAAATTCTTCCGCCCCACCTCGGCTCAACTGTAGACTGTAGCCGCTCTTACGCTGCAGACGCACACTCATTCATTGGTTATTGCTTGATGTGGATCTCCATAACATTACATGTATTATGCGGACTGCAAGTGTCATCACCAACATCACAACATGTGGCGATCACATACACCAGGATAGGTATCAGTTTTTACTCTACCAGTACGACGGTGCTGTTATCGGGCCCGAAAATCATTGATAGCGCAGACTGTCACAGTGGTTTTCCCCATTCTTTTTTGTCTTGTCAAAATTTACACTACAGGATTTAGTGGAATTACCATTCAATGGTTTGAATTGGTTATCCGGCGCAGTATCCGCCGCAATGCTCCTTCAATCCAATATGCACATTCACGCTCCTCACCAAATTTCATCACCAACTTCATCAAATTTCATACCCGTTTAATTATTGCCTTGCTGTGCATAATCTACATGCAACCCCATTTGATCAGTGGAGAGGAGAAACCGAAACACGGAATGACCGATGACGGTGTCGTGATTGGCCTGACCCTGAAAGTACGGAAGAAAATCACATGCAAGCAGCACATTGCTCCAAAAGATCATTCCCGCCTATCATGAGTTGCGATTCCTGGGCAACCTAGATCTGCATCCACCTTGTAGCTAGAGATGTGTGTCTCCATTGTTCTTGATCAAAACTAAATATACACCTTGGGCAAGCAGTAATTTTGCATGCCAAAGCATCAACAACGTCAATTGGAGGCTAAGAAATGTTTGCATGTCCTCATAAACGCTAGCTAGTTCTCAAACTACAGACTATCTTCTCAGTGAGCTTCTCCTATGCAAGCTTTTCTCTCAATGTTTTCTCTTTCTTCCGTCCCTGATCCCCGCATCTGGCTCTGGGGTGGTTCTCATACAATGGCAGCTGAAGCTAGCTCGACCGGATTTCTTCTATCACTTTTTCGTGCCTGGGAGTGGCAATGGCACTGGTTGCTCTACGTGATTGTTATTTGGGAGGCAAAAAGAATATTTGAACTGTTCTTTCTCGTACCTGTGAGCCCCCATACTATAAAACCGCAGGGAGGTTACAGCCTTCATCCTCATTCCTCCACTGACAGTAACACAAAGAGCAATGTTAGGATAACGGGCCCATCAACTATCTTCGGACACTGGGTGGCAGGCTTTAAACATGTGTTTTATCTCGAAGAAGTGGCCTCCAATGCCTATAAAATGGTAGGTCAATCCTCCTATAAGAGTACGCAGTATATTCATCATGAACATACTATCTTGACATATATCTGACCCATTTGTTTAAAGCCTGTGGGTAAAATTTGGGCTATGCCGACGAGAAACAATTTTCATATCTGCGTTCCAACAAAGGAATACATCGAAGAATTCGATCGGGCTCCTCAAAATGAACTGTCTTTGAGAGGGGTTAGTCATGAGGTGAGGAAGTTCTACTTCAACTTTTTACTTTCTACGAGTTGTTTTAATGTTCTCGTCATTTAGCTCTTCCCCCCTCATGAACTCTTCGGGGGCCTGCCACCCGAGAGTCCTGGAATTTTCCAGAAGATCCTCAAAACAGATATGCGGCAATGTCTTCCACAACTCGAACCTTCCCTTCAAGATCGATTGCACGAAGCATTTAAGAAAGACTTTTGTGGCAAAAAGAATCCAGAAGGCAAGCATGATCCCTTGAAACCCCAATTTTTAGACCTTGGATGCATTTTTTATTCGCGCAGTATTTAATCGATCTCATATGTTCCATACTGATAGATATATAAATTCGCTAGGATGGACGAAAGTTACCCTGTCCTCCACAATGTTTAAGATGATTGCGAGGGTGAATAGTCTGGCCATTCTTGGTCCAGATTTGTGTATGTTTATCTTTGTTTCATTCCAATTTGCTGGAGTAGTAATTTTAACCAGCCAACGATAGCCAAGACACTGTTTGACTCGGGAACGGTAACTCGTTATTTGAAAACGGCCACACTAACGGGACAGCTTCTCGGAATTTTACCCCGCTTCATGAAGCCGTAAGCTGAGAATTCCAGGCGGGCGATGCTCCCTTCATACTACAAAAGTACTGGTAGCTAACTTTCCCCGAAGCTTGGTAGGAAAGCTCATAATGCGTTATATCGGTGGTTTGGATGAGATGGTGAAACAAATTTCGAACGAGATTAGTCTTCGGGTTAAGCCTGCCAAGGTAGATGGGCCAGAACATGTAAGCTTTTGCCTTTTCATTTTCTTTGAGATATCATGCTCGCACTGACTTTGTACGCTGTAGATGGATTGTATTCAGTGGACGATTGGAAGATCTAGGAAAGAAAGTGTCCTCACCTTGACTCCTCATATTTTGGGCATCTTATTCGCGTCCACACATCAACCACCCATGGTAAGATGGATTGTTACACTGATCAGTCTACCAAAACTGTCGTACGAGAAGTGTCTAACATTTAATGATAGTTGCTATCATATGCGATCTATCGCTTGTGTCTCCATCCCGAGTATCTACAGCCATTGCAAGATGAAGCAAGACTATGTGCTAAGAAAGACAGCCCCTATACAAATAGTGATGACATGCCACTGATGGATAGCTTTCTAAAGGAGGTTTCGCGAGTGCATCCTATCACTGTTGGTTCGAGATCCCCATACTTTCCAATTAAACGCCGCTCACCCAAAAGTAGTAACTTTACCGCACAAAGTTGAAAAGGCATTTACGTTTTCGGATGGGACTTACATTCCAGCCGGTAACTGGGTTTGCGTACCTCAACAAGCTATTCTGAACGATCCAAACATATACAATGACCCCGAGACATTCCAACCATTTCGATTTGTGCAATGGGAGAATGAAAATGGTGTTTCTCCCACGCCATCCTCGGAGTCCAGATTCTCGCATCCTAGCTGGAAATATCCCTACTGGGGCACCTTAAAGCAAGCTTGGTAATAAGACCTTTCCTCGTTTTAGACAAGAATCAGCACTGACATGTTCTTGGTAACTACCAGTCCCGCAAGGTTCTACGTTTCAATGATCTCAAAGATGACAATCGCACACTTGATCCTGAACTACGATTTTCATCTTCCCGATGAGAATATAACGCCAGATATGCGGTGGGGTATGGCGGTAGTGCCGCATCCACGTCTTTCAGTACTAGTGCGGGAAAAGTCGATCGCCTAGCTAGATCGCAGCGCTACGTTCGTGATGACGTGGTTGTACGAAGAACTCTTCGCTGCGGGATTAAACTGTACAGTCTGTACCCAAGCTATATTATCGCTCGTTCGACATGAATCTTACCTTCTAGCTTGAGTGACTAGTGGGTGTAAAACAAAGAGATCAGGTTCTTATCGGGAATAAAGATTGCACTAGAAAGTTGGTTAATGGGGCGTGCAAATCGAATGGAGGCCCATCCATTCATATAGATAAGGGAAGACATACAATTTTAAAACTGATGTCCATTAGAGCATTGAAGAATGATATGTTCACTGGGTATTGCCTCCCTTTGTATTTTCTATGCTCTAACTATAACAGTATATCTAAGAATCTTACAGGTTCCGTCCGAATGCCAGTTTGAACGGTTGGTTTGCAATTTAATTGCATTAGATAAACTATTATAGTGAATTGAAAGTAAAACAGATGGATCAAACAATTTTTTCTAAAAGTCACGGTTTAAATTGATATTAAGACTTTCAGATTATTTAACATTTATATCAAATCTAATTCATATACTTACATATTTAAAATCTTTGAATTTGAGTAGTCTACCTTTGTTTAAGCTATAAGCGTGATTAGTTATATGAAAAATCCTAGAGGCTATATTCTATATAATCCTAACGATTAGATATACTCATTATAATGATTCAACAAGATTTACAAAGCCTCTCGTGTCTTTTTCTGTTTACATCTTGTCTTAAATAATCATTACTAGAACCAGATTTATACAATAGTCCATAAGATGCGAAGAGAGCGGGGCTCTAATGATTGTGTTCTCAAGAAACGAATTGCTCGCTTACTGCGCCCTTGATAGCTCAGCGAACTATGAATATGACTATATATCTATAAATCATGTATCTGAATCTGAATCTGAATCTCAAAACTTTACACTGAGAAGTTCCGTCGGATCATAGGCGGCCATTCAAATAAATCATCAGAATATAATATCTATCACCATCAACAATCAACAATCGACAATCAATCTCTCACAGCCGACATGAACGGCAACCTCCCAAAAAATCCAGGATCTAGATTAAAACCTGTGTACTGGCGCGAAATCCGATTCTTAGAGATATCTCGACGGTGAAGTTACTCGCTGGCACCGAACGAGATTTCTTTCTTCTTTCTTTCACCAAAGAACAAGCCTGGGCCCGAGAGCGATATCTACGTGCATAGAGCGGTACATGCAGATCCCACCAAAGTCTAAAGATCCAGTATGAATATGGCAAATCTTACAAAAGTAAGATGCAGCACGCACTAACCATGACTTTAGGAAATTCATCGCGAGCCCCAGATGAGATACCAGTACCGGTACCCACAAACATTCCAACGTATCTCTACATAGAGCGGCATACATACATTCTCGATTTCGACAGGTGATTGGTTCTCCGCAACTCCTTCACCAACGTCCCCTGATTAAGACTTTCGCAAACTTACCGATACTTATTGATAGTTAGTTTGAGCAAACTAACGTAATCAAGAGTTTTGATTCTGCAGATTACAGCGCAGTCATATCATATCATAGATGTGGTACAGATATGGTACAATGGGCAAAAGAACCAGCTGCACTGTGAATATGAATGTGAATGTGATGGGTGAACTTGCATTACTACAATACGAGAATCCTTCACCTGTCCTGCTCTGCATGGCAGGCAAAGAGCAAACTCCATCCCTAGGCTAACCTGAGATTTTAAACAGCTTGCTTAGAGGAAAGGTATGGTCACCATCTATGCAGTGGCTATGAGATGATACGCACATGTCGAGGACATATCAAACCATGATCTTCAAACTAGACTTCTCCTCTCCCCAAAAGTAAGAGCGTCATGCCATGGAGATGCAATGCAACTGCAACTGCAACAAAAACCTATATCATTCGCATCGCGAACGATAGAATGGAAAAAAATAAGCAAGCGCCTCAACTTGGATGAAAACGCCGGACTTTGTCTTCTCTTTCGTGATATCCATGAAGGACAATCAATACGGATATTCACAAGATCTTCTTCTCCCTCTCCCCCTCCCCTCTCCATCTTTCTCCAGGAAACGCCAATGTCATCTAATCCAATCTAGCTATTTTCTTTTAATCGTAGCTTGAGCCGGAGCTGTAGCCGATACAATTGCAAGCACATCACAAGCACAACTGCTACATCCATCCATCCATGCATCCATGCATCCATATCTGGCACCATACCATACCATACCGTACCGTACCGTACCGTACTTCATTAATACATATACATATACATATACATATACCGAGCCCCCACCCCACCCTCAGAAACTGAACAAACTAGACAAATTAGTTATTAATCTTCGAGATCCGCGCACCTTTCTTCCTTCATTATAATTTATAAAGAGAGAAAATCACCAGCACCATCGCCAGCCACCATACACGAGATTCATTCCTTTCCCTTCCCTACCTCACCTCACCTCAACACCATACTGCATTGCATTTCATGCAGGCATACATATTCAGGACATCGATTTCGATTTCGACTTAGACTTAGACTTAGACTTACGACCCCCATCCTATTCCATTCCATTCCATTCCATTCCATACAGGATCTTTCCCTCACTCGTATCGAGCCCCACGGTGGGTGGCGATGATTTTCTGTTTACAGTAGTAAGTAGGTAAGTACAAAGATATTTAACACCAGCACCACCCCCTACCAGTATTCCCTCTGGTGATATCATATCATATCATATCATATCATATCATATCATATACCATCATATACCATTCATCCCTCGCTCGCTTCTAGTATTTTTCTTTTCTTCACTTCACTTCACATCACATCACATCACCTCACCCAACTCAACTCAACTCAACGATTTCGTTCATGCCTGGACTGAACGCCAGCTCTCAGAGGGGACGCGTCCGTCCGTCCGTTCGTCCGTCCGTCTGAATTCGACGACAATCAATATTTTTTTGCTGTAAGTCTGAGTCAGCTTTTCCTTTCAGTATCGGTCTCGAACTGTACCGGTGGGTATTGGTAGTCATTTGGCCTAGGGCGAGCTTCGGCTTCGGCTTGTTATTCGCGAGCGAGCCGAGACTGCTGTTGGTATTTGATATACCGGTAGGTAGCTGAGGCGGGAAAGAAAGTTGAGTGGACTATGCTGAAGATGAAGATGATGATGATTGTTCTTGTTCGGAAGGAATCGATGATGGTTAAAATCAAAATCGAAATTCGAGAAGGGATGGATGGGCTTAGGAAGGGAACGGTTTTCTGGTGACTGGTTGGGTGGGTGAGTGGGTACATGTACATAACGGTAGGCAATAATCAATGGGCGTGAGGAGAAAGTAAATATATTGATGCAAGACTCCTTTGGGATCAAATCACTCTCGTCGCTAGGTACTGTGATTGATAACGTGTGCAGACATTTGTTTTCCTAGATCATGGTGCAGACACGTGATATCACATACTGTCGTCGTTGCCTTCAGAAGTTCAAAAGTAACGGCGGGGTAAAAACATCAAATTTGTCCTCTCAGAAAAAAAAGGAAGCTAAGTGCGGGGTAGCTATTCAAATATATCGATATGTATGTTTGAGATACCGTATGATCATATCAGAATGCGGGGTCTATTATGTCAAGCACCCCACCATCCATGATCATCACATATCAAGCTGTTGACCCCACCACCCGGGCCCATGCGATCTCTCCACAAATAAAGTTGTGGTAGCACGGCGGTGTACATGCCAATGCGTTGCGTTGCGTATGCACACATTAGCAGATCGGGGTTTAGGCTTCTGGGTACCGGTCAATTCTCCTCGTATATCTACCGGTATACAATCCAGGCCTGAGGGTATCGCACATGTCGGCTTCTCTCCTTTAGACTGAGACTGAGGCAGAATCAATCCCATCAATGCCGTTGACCAAACCCAAACTAGCTTGCCATAACTTATCTTCGTTCAATAGCCACACTTGTGTTTTATTTCCCTCGTTACCAAGAATGAAGTTCGCAGAGCCACCAACTACGACAATTTTCCCCAATAGGATGCCTCCCTCGTTCCAAACATTCACTCCATCTCCGCATCCCGCGTAGACATTTCCTGCAGCATCGGTTTTGATACCATCTGGAAGTCCTTTTTGAGGTACGGCGAAGATTCTCTTATTTGCAAGAGTTGGCTGGCCACCTCGGGTTATCACGTCGAATGCGTAGATTGCTCGTGGAGCTGTTGGTGCCGTGGAATTACCGGTTCCGTCGGTAATATATGCGGTTTTCTCATCGGGACTAAATGTGATACCATTGGGTTCCTGAATCCCGTCTGCGACAACACGGATATCGTTTGTGTCTGGCATGTAGCGGTAGATATGGTTAGGAAGTTGAGGTTGGGGCCGGATTCCTTGCCATGCACCGTAGGATGGATCGGTGAACCATAAGGCTCCGTCACTTGTCGCATGAACGTCATTGAGTGAGTTGAATTCCACACCATAGTAATTGTTGATGAGGGTTTTCGTGATATATGGAGCTGTGGCATTCATAAAGACTAGTCCGCCTGGTGCAGTCATGGATCCTTGATCGCAAATCACGAGGCCGTCTTTATATTTCGTTCCTCCATTTGCAAGAGTGATGATTCCTTCTGGTTTGATAATAGTAGATGACCATGAATCGTCGGTTTTATCCAGACGAGTGATCGAGATAGTTTTGTTATTGGTGGATGGAGAAGTAGTAATGGAGTCGTATTGATTGCTCGTGACAAAAAGAGTTGACTCGGAGAAAAAGATGGCTGCTTCATGAAATTGGGGAAAGGAAGAATTCGAGGAATTCAAGACATTGCTAATGATTGGCGAGTCTCCAAGTATTGAAAGGAAAGATTCATTGTAGACTTGGAATGGTGCGTTATTGCTGACATTGTACAAGTCCAAATTCGAAATTGTGTCAGGGGTATAGGTCTATGGGACCCATTAGTTTGGAGTCATAGTTGCTGATATTATTTTGTACTTACATATACCATATCTTGTGCCAAAATACCCGTGGCAAGTAACATAGCTGGAATGATGTTTCTGGAATACATTGTTGCTTTAATTATCACCTCCAAAGGATTGAACGAACAGAAATAGATCTGGAAGGGTATAGCTGAATATTTATACAACCAAATAATGGGGATGGGTCATCTCTTGTTGGTGGATATACCACTTGGCATTCAAGCATCTGCATATCATTTGTAATCTAGCCGAAAACGTAAAGCATCTGGCAATATCAATACCGGTAACACTTGTATAGGTACTTTGATAAATGCTGTGGGACGTGACTGGTGAGACACAACCGACAAGATTGAAGGGTGATTCGTGAATTCATCAATTTGGTTCTTCCAGTAACCAGCTTGTTCATCTGGTCGGCATGAAACATGCTAGAAGGCCTTTTCGTATGCCAAGGACTTAATTTTTCTTGATGGGATACTTTACCTCGCTGTCGACATTATCCCTGAGATGAGACTTCGAGAACCTTTTAGATCTCTTGGCTTCATCTCATGGCTACATTTCGAAGCCAATGCGAATATGTGCTCTGATGAAATTCCCATCAATTATTGGCGGTGATCAAACCTTAAATCTCTTGCCGCTCTACTAAGCAGATTTGACAGTTCCTGAAAGTTGAAAGTAATCAGACGTGTACCTACAGTACCTACTTACCTACCTACCTAGTATCATGAGCATTCAAACAACAATCTGAGAGATTCATAGGAATGCCTTGATATAAGCATTTAAACTTGTATAACGAATCTTAATATCGCCAATGCCCTAAAGTTGGGCTGGACTGGTTAGTTGCTGCTTTGGGATTTTGGAAAGCACGTGTTATCTAAAATCATCGATATCATTGGTCTGCAGCTTACCGAAATAAAGCCATGGCAATCAAGTGGTGTAACAAAAGCTTCTTATGATCAAAAACATCTAACTTATAATTACATTACTTCACTAAAGACATTACGGAAGCCGAGATCTCCTTTACATATAAATTTCATATTTTTTTATAGGAAACAAATAAGAAACACAATCATATCATTTTGAACATTATGAATAAAAGTGATTTGTATATAAAAATTATGTTTATATGAAAAGGGAAAGGGAAAAGTCTGTGCTTGTTGCTTGTTGCTTGTTATCTATCTATTCCCCCGCCAGATTGATAGATTAATCAGGATATCAGGATTGGAATCTCATATTCAACTATTCAAACTACAAAATACCGGCTCCCTAAAATGGCTTAGCCTCTTATCTACCCCGCTAAGGTTCTTTCGATGTTACCGACTAATAACTTCAATCTTGCTGGCCCGTCAATAATACACATCACATCAATAACAACAATCTAATTCTCACAATCAGATTAACCTAAAAACACTTACTCGATTACTTTGATATACTTTGATACATTCTTTGTCATTACACTTTGTATTTGCCAGCATCGGATTCGATCACCAACCTCGGCCTTTTCCCCTACTACTTCAATATCACACAGTCACAGATCACTAAAACTCACCCTCGATTCAACAATGAATACAAGACAGCTTGATACCACCACTAGTAGACCCACGCGGGTTCAGAAGACGCCGCGTATCTATACCTGCTCTGTATGCCAGAGGACGTTTAAGAGAAGTGAGCATTGTTCAAGGCACGAACGCGGTCGTGAGTACAATCAAATTATTTGCGAGTCATGCTGGTTCCTTTGTTGATATGACTCCAACTTTTAGATACCCACGAGAAACCATTCCCTTGCAGACTATGCGGTCGTAGATACGCGCGAAAGTATGTTTTCACGATGCGCGAAAATTATACTTGTTATTAAAAGATCATCAGAGCTGATTACATATTTAGGGATGTCGTCATACGACATGAAAAGTCTTTTCACCGTCTGGAAAATCCAAGACGTCAACCTCCCCCCCTTCAACCGTCATCACCAGATGCCGATGCCGATGCCGACCCAGAGCCGTTCGCAGACACGATTGTAGTCGGTACCCACAATCACTCTACAAATACTCAGTCGCATATCAAACCCGAGCAGCAGGAAACACCGGAGATGCAATCTACATTGGATCCGCTACTGCGAGAACATGATGCACAATTAGCTGGACATCCAGGTTCTTCTAATTGTCATATGAATGGACATGGTGGGCCAGATCATGGATTTCAACAATACCAGAATGGTTTCATAGATCCTGCCCTGGATATTTCTGATCTCTTTGGCCCATCTCCCAATCTGATAGCCCGAACCTGACAGCCATCATTTCTATTGCAGCAAATGCAATAAATTTCATAGCTTTCCAAAACGCCTTACGAAACACAACGACATTACGACAAACACAATTCTGGGGACTGGGATATCACGAACCCGGCGCTGTGGGACTATACGCAAATAGCAAGACTTGAGATATTTTAATTGATGTTCTCTTGTGAGATTTTGCAGGACAATGTTGTCGATCTCGAGATGTCATTACACTGTCATAGAGGTTTCGCTTAGAGATGTAATTCACCATCTCTGATTTCATTTGAGGAATTCCTACATCTACAGTTTTCAGACAAACCAGCGGGGGTTTGCGCCGGACGGAGATTTCCGCGATTTGGTTCCTTAAAAGGTACCTCGTTTGTGCATAGTGAGAGCATCATTCATTTCCAAGCGAGTAGCTCAATTCAGAAGTTGCGAGATTTTAATGAATACAATCCACAATGTGCTTGTGAGCCTTTTCGGTTTCTTTGTTTTGGTGAACAATTCCAGCTTGGCCGTTATTTTCGCGCTTCTTCTTCGTTCATATAACAGGAACAGTACCTGTCCATATGAACAGTACCAGCACTGTACATTGACATTCCCAACCACTCTCGGAATTGACACCTTTTGAGTTAAATTGACTATATTTTTTTCTCCTCAAGAACAAGTCAGGTACAGATTCGTAACAACATGTCCCCGAGGTCCTTAAAAGTCGAGTTTGGCAAATGTCGTTTGAATTCCACAGCACCCACAACACAAAATCGGTACACATATCTACCGCAACTACAACAAGCAATTTGATACAGTATCATTTGACCAACAAATTCTAACGCAGTTCAGGATGCCACCACAGTTAACACCAGTGAGCGTCAGCTCTCTCGCGGCAGACGAACGCATATGCCCCATCTGTCGTGAAGAATTTGGTGTTGGAACAAGCGGAGAAACAGTCAAAACCCAATGCAATCACATTTTTGATCGCAACTGCATCCAGCAGTGGTTCAGTGTAGGCAATTCAACTTGTCCCATTTGCCGACAGGATCTTCGGCAGGTAGAAGAAGGTGGTGACTACCTTGATCGCATCCAAATGCCAGATGACTTGCGTGATCAAATCCGAGCCATCGACGAAGCTTACGAAAGACAAAGTCACGAACTCAGAGAACGGAGTAACTTACGATTTCGAGAAACACTAGAGGAGTATCGCAGGAACGCACTACTTGGCCACATCAGAGCCTTAGAACTGCAACAAGCACGAGCGGAGGAAGTTGGTGGTGATTCCGACAACGACGAATCTGGTGACGACGCCGGAGAATGGGAGGAATACGAACCAAACCCGCCATCTTCGCCCGTAAACTACCCCAGCCACAGACAGCCCGCTCCCCCACGAAGCCGAAATCGCGAACAACGAGTAGTTACACTTCCAGATGCCATATATCGCGCCGAATTCAACTACAGACGCGCGCTCGCCGAGCTCGAAGACATCGACCGACGTATCGCGCTCCAGAGACAACGATACACCGACAGCATCGATCAACACCATCAATCCGAACGACGCATCTTGAATACATTCACGGAATTCGCGACTGCGGCCCAAAGCAACGATCGCAACGCCATTGACAGTGCGCTGGCGACGCAGGAATCGGTGACGCCGTTCTTGAATCATGCGTATGCGGTGTCGCAACAGGAGGTGCTGCGGCTTGAGGGCCTCATGCGGGACAGATCTGGACTGTGGGATGGATTCACGAGGGCGAGGGAGGTGTTTGCGGTTGAGAGACAGAGGTTTATGGACGGGGTTAGGGAGAGGGTTAGGGAGAGGGAGAGGAGGAGGTAAGTGGCTGAGTACTGAGTACTGAGTACTGAGTACTGAGTACTTGGTTGTGGAGCGAGAGAGAGGTGAGTTCGATTGATCTGATCCCCCGAATCTCCAGTGATTGATTAATTGCTCTGTGAATAACTGAGTGAGAATGACTTCCCATCCATCCCATCTTTCTTTCCAAATGAATGACTAAGTATTTAATATGATGATCTTTTTCCTTTTCATCTCATCTTTCTTTTTCAAATGAACGACTAAATATTTGATATGATGATCTTTTTCCTTTTGGTCATGATTTTCCTATACATATCCTATCCCATTTTTCTTTTCCGAATCATCTGAACATATCCTCATCCTTTTTGCTGATTGCTAAATATTCAATATAAAAAAAATTCTTTCTAAACATGATTTTGATTTTGATTTCAATTTTGACTAATTTCGTTTTTGATATGTGTAATATATATGTGATATATGTAATATAATAAAGTAAAAATATAAAAAGAGAACTTGAATATAAGGAAATTCTACTACTAATTTAGGAATCAAGAAGAATTAATATTACTAGTAGAATACTATTTTGACTACTATCATTATAGATAGGCTAGATCTGAAAGATATTCCGTTCTCGTTAATACTAACAGTGAATTTTGATCGATAATCGAAATTTATTAGTAAATTGAGATATAGTAATCTTATAATACTACTGTCTTTTATATATACTACAGCAATAGAGTGAGTAGTAGAACTTTATGTTATATGCTAGTAGATTCCGGAATCAAACTCGCTTCGATCTACTCGAGTACTACTAGGGCGAATGTAATTTTTGAGGTTTGTGGATGGATAGTGAGTGGTATGTATACGATTTTTACACTAGTATTTAATATTATTATAATAACATCTCCGATGATCTCGCAGACAGAGAGAGCACTTACTTATACGACATTCTGACCTCTTTCGGAGTCTTTTTATACAAAAATGTAATTCTTTCCAAGATTGTATATATATGAAATATCACATATATTATCAACATCTTGAAAACGTGGAGACCTCGAGCACTTCTCGATCAAAAAGGTTTTGAGGAAGAGACTAGACGGTTTTCGGTATAATACAACGTCCTGATCAAAAGCTCTAACTTCTCAGATCTGTTGGCTGGATATTCTTCAAGTACCGACCGGTATTGATTGGATGAATATTTGCTCAGAATTATTGATTGATATATTGTGTTGTGGTAGCAAACAAAAACAAATGGAGATAAATAGATTTCTTTAATCATATGTTATGTCATGTCACGGTATCTCCAACTCCATCTGTCACATCACATCAGCACGAAATGCACTACCGTTACCGTATGTGATCAAGATAGATGCAAGAGCAAAGCTCATTACTAATGAAGACTTAGTCTCGAGTTCAATATATAGCACCTTGTGGCTTTTGGTGACTATAGAGGAATAGTAGTGTGGTACATTAAGTAAGTGTGTGAACATGAATAGCGTTAGTAATATTAATATCAAGCATTCGAAGAGTTACTATATAATGATACCGGTACTCGATAAAGACGCACTGATAGCGGGAGATGTGAATTTATAATATTGCATTGACTCCTTTTTACTCGGTAAATGAGATGAAGGAGGCTAAGATTTTCGAGTTATGCGTTTATTCATGAAACGAAACATCAACAAAACCAACGAAAGACGGCAGTTAATAAATAGGCTGGAGAATATTGCGTTAAGCACTGCTGTGAGTGTATTAGAGCTATAGTTGTAAATCTTTAGTACAAATGAAGAAGAGATACTGGTATAAAAGAAAGAGGGCATAGAGTACCAATTAGCTCACAAACAAATTCTATGGTGCTACTTGGACATAGACGTATGAACCCTTTCTAACCTCGACCAGCTGACCTCGACCATCAAGATGAATAGAATATGCAAGAACTTTAGCTGGTACTCCGCACATCATATCACATCACAGTCAGGTATATCTCGTTCGATCGCTTTACTTGTCAACACATATGTACTCGAGTAACTTGAGATCTCAGATATATCGTAAAACTTATACCAGTAGTCTTTCAGATACATGAACTTCCTTCTGGGTTTCCGATTTCGCATACCTAGTACTAACTTTGAAACCATACAGCAATACACCTAGAGCTTGTGATCCAACGCCGCGGTCCACTGCATTGTGATTCAATATTAGATCATCTGCGTCTAGTCTAGTCTACGGATGAACAATCCGTGAAATGAAAATTGGCGAATTGAGTAATAGAGTATTCTGATAGAATCTCGAGGAGAATAATAAGAGGCTAAGAGATATACTTGACATTCGTGAATTGCCCCTACTCCTTCCTTATTGACGATTGTTATTTGGTATGATTGATGTCGGTGATGTGATAGGGCTTGAGTTAATTTCGTCATGACAAACACTTGCTAATATTCTCGGGTTCTAATCTCCCAAATGGAGTTCTGAAAAATCCACTACGATGGGATTTATCTAGTGATATGTATACCTGGATTTGATGCTTTTATTTATATCTAATCAATATTTAGATTCCAGGATACCAGGCCCGGGTTCAAGTTCTCATTCTGCTGCATGCGAGTACCCGGTTTGAGATTCTAATTTCTATATAAATTCTCTTTTGGATTGTATAATCTATTATTCGTTTGTTGGCTACAGACAGACGCCAATCGAGGGTGTGTAGATATCTACAGTGTATGTGAGGTAGAATTGAGGGCGATGATTAGAAGCAAAATAAGTTATAACTAATCACTGATCAGGAATTCTATAGACACTAGTGATCAACAGTGGTGAAGCCCGAAGAGTTATCTGAAGATGATGCAGTAGCAAGTAAGGTTATGAATTTTTCGCCAGAGGTCTGCAATGGGCTAGTTAGTAGTGGCTGAGTCAAGCAAGAAGCGTGTGGAAGGTGTGTTGAGGGTACTGGACCTATATGAATTTGGAAGGAGTATGTGAGCCTAAGTTAGACAGGTACCCATAACATAACATATAATTTACAGATGACATAGGAGAATCCGAGGAATCAACAGGCAGGTACACTTGTTTGCACACATTACATTCTACAGTACAGAGAAAAGAAATATTTTCTTCCGAGATTCCAGTAAGTAATCTTACATAAATACTGTAAACAATGGAAATCTGTAATGTTTGAGCATCAATCCCCAGGACTAAGGAGTCATCTGGCAAGATATACTAGTAACCCTTAGGAGCTACGAGTAGTTTAACTATTTTGATTTCAACCGTGTTATTATTATAGTCCGATCCGACTAGCTCACTCACTCACTCACTTACTCACTATACATGGAACGAATTTGCGGCCGCCTGATTCCTAATTTTTCTAATCTTCCCAATAATATATACTAGATATACGAAGGAAGGAAGGGGGACGATCGCTTCGCTTGCCTTTCCCCGATTGGGAAGGAACCAGGCGGCCGTTTCCAACTCCTATGGAATGTCGATTATGAGGTTGATATTCATATTCATATACTGGTATACTTTATTTCATTTCTTTTCATTTCACATCACCTATATACTATATTTCTTTCTTTCCCCTCCCTGCCTTTAGGCTCTGAAGTTTTATCCCACAGCTTTGCTTGCTTGTAATTAATCTTACGTTGTTTTATTAACTTGTATAGCTAGCACCTTTATTGTATTGAATTGGGGAATTTGGGAAGGAATAGATTGGATTAGATTATATTCAATTGAGAGTGGGATGAAAAGTAAAAGTAAAAACTAAAAATAAAAGCAAAAGACCTACAGTAATCAAAAATCTACTTACTGGTGATCTATCTACTCGACTACTCGACTACCTCGCTACCTACCACGTAGCTAGATCCAAATATATACATATATATATACATACATACTCATACTGACTCATATATACATATACATAAGAGCCTCTCCCTCTCCCTCTCCCTCTCCTTTTATTCAATATTTTACAATACGACATACCACAACACAATAAATATCCCACAATGCAACACAGCACAGCACGACACAACACAAAACAACACAGCGAGTCTCCTTACAGACCCATGTTTATTGTGCAAAATTCGAGGACATTGTGTTGTATGTGAGGAGATGTATTGGAATGAGATTGATTTGGGTATGTTATAGATGGATTTAAGACACGAAGGAGAATTTTCTTGCTTTTGGTTGCTTGCTTTGGGTATGGGTATGATATTAATTGTTATTTGCTATTAAATACATCCTCTCTCATATATATATATATCCTCTCGTGAGATCATTGAGGTAAACATCTCTATCTACATCTAAAACTATCTCTTCATCTACATTTCAAACTGGTATTAACAAGAAAAATAGGACTCCAGGATTCTTGCACACATTAAATCAATGACTCGACCCGTGGTCCCAGAGTCTGCCAGAGAGTTCTACCCGACCGACAGTAGAACTGAATTGTGTCTTATGATCCAAAAACTTGTGCCAGTTGGCACCAGCACTCAATGCGTTGATCTGCAATCCATGTGTTCCAATTCACATGTAATCAACCACTCATACCAAAGCGACTGGCTTTGACTTCCATACCGCCCAACTAAAAGAAATAGTAAGTTTGATAGCAGCAGCAAGCCAAAGGGCAGCGGACAAGCCAGCCGAACTTCGACTGATCCAGCCACCAGCAATTCCACCCGAGAGAATAGCAAGAACAGCCCCTACTCTTCTATTCCTCTTAACATTATCCCATGCGAATATCTTAGGATCCGAAGCTATATCACAATAGACACTGGTCAAAACCGTTGTGGGTACTTCATTAAAGCCAAGGATTCTTGACGTTACAATTTGACCACCGGATTGAAATGCCAGGAATGCTAATGGAATCAAGTCGATAAAATCGACTTCATCTGCGATACCATTGACGCCGAAAGGTTCGGGCACCACTTTTCCTTGTACTAATGCTGCTGCTATTATTACACAGATTCCTTGTAATAGAAAAGATAAGGATAGGATTCCGCGACTCTTTCCGGCGCCGAAATGTCGAGTTTGTGCAAAGAAGAGGCAACCGCAGAGAAAGAAGAATATCGACATTAGGGATTTAACCCAACCGTATGGATGACTGATGGGTTGTCCGGATGCGCCGAGAGCGAGGAAGATGGTATTTCCTAAGGAAGGAAAGTATTAGCACAGAAAGAAAGATACTATGTGTATGTGTATTGGAATTGGAGTGATGCATACCCGTTTGCATAGAAACGAAACAAGTCCAGGCATTGTAGGCACTACTATCGCAGATACCAGAAACGAGAGCACATGCGATGATTGGAATATCAGCATGAACGAGAGTAATCTCCTCGCTGAAATGGGATCTTGCTCTAGTCAAGACAGAATCGTGAGATTCTTTGATGGAACCATTGTAAGATCTATTTGGAGAGGAAACTTCGGTCGTTGGAAGGGAACTTTGTGCTCCAACACTAGCACCAGCTTCCGTGTCCGATTCTCGGATTGACGAAGCTTTTAGCATACTGACTCGAAATGGTCACCGAGTAATTAGATTAGTTGATGAAGGGAGCAAAGGGATGAAGGGATGAAGGGATGAACTGATGAACTGATGAACTGATAAACTGATAAACTGATGAATTGATAATGAAGCAATACGGAATTATGATTACAATATGGAAATGAAGATATATATATACATACAAAATACAACCCAAATATCTATACGAGTATTCTGAAAAGGCTAATATGTGATGATGGCTACCATGGCTTCACCGGTATAAAGAATAATTACTCAAAAACATGCCATTTTTTCTTATCGTGACAGAACAAAATAGAATGAAGGCAGGGTCATCAAGAATCAATTCTTAATTGGGTCTTAGACTCTTATTAGATGGGAATTTTCCACATTCGCATATTGACCAATCAAGGAATTGATATGTGGCATTTACTCATTCAAACCAATTAAAAGACTCTCATCTTACGCTTAGTAAAGCTTTTTGATATAGATTCAAAAGTTATCTTATCTCAGTAAATCTACATAGGAGTTTTCACATTCTCATATTGACCAATCAAGGAATTGATATGTGGCATTTACTCATTCAAACCAATTAAAAATCTCTTATCTGCCGCTTAGTAACTCTTTCGATAAAGATTTAAGAGTTAATCCAGACACTAAGCCAAAATAGAATAAACCCACAAGGTTTTACATGTGATTAGCGGTCAGCGCTGATTTAGGTCCACCCATCAAAAAATTTACATTATCTATGTCTTTTTTTTTCTTCGACCCCTCCCTTTCAAACTTTCACTTCTCATTCTCTCCTCACAAACATTTCATTTCAAACCTCATCTTAGCCACACGCGGCCAAGATATACTTCAAGATTTCAAGTTCTACTTGTTTTCTTATTACTTCTTGTCTTCTTAAGAAAGACTTCCTTCTGCTCGGTCAGAAAAATCTCCACTCCAAAAAACGACAATCTTTGTCGATTGCGACCAATACTTAGGCCACTTTCGAACCCAAGGAACATATTTTTTTTCCAATTTTCGAAGAATCTTCTTTTTTCACGAATTCAAATTTTCACCACTCAGAAACCATATTCATTGATCAACAGCGTCATTGAATCGCTTTTATCAATATTGACCATATTTAAAAGGTTTCTCCAGGCTTAATAATGCCACATCTCGAATCTCCCACCCACGAGATGCCTATCATGATTTCAAAGACATCTAACGGTGTCGCACCAACCCAAGCTGAGATTTCCGGCATTCTTGATACTATTTTCGAAGCCAAATCATCCGCTGCATCAGTTGATGCATCTTACGCTCTCTGCGACCTCCTTCTCAACTCCGTCGGCTTCCGAGGACTCCAAGAATATGGCATCTTAACTCAGATTAAAAAGGCCGCGTCCGATAAGAAGAGTCCAACAAAAAGAGAGAGTGCTCAAAACCTCTTGGGTGCTCTCTTTGAGCGTCTTCCCCCCAAGCAAAAGATCTCGGAGATTGTCTTCCTCGTACAAGAGTCTAGCATGCTACCATGTGCACTCGACGCTCTTGCCGATAAGGGTGCCGTCGTCCGCGATGCTGCTCAATACGCCATTGACGCTTTAGTCTCCAACTTGAACGCCGAAAGTCTTGTCGTTGGCCTCCTCCCAGTCATCGCTTCATACCTCGCCAAACGCACAGGAAAATGGCAAGGAACAGTTGCGGCCTTCAAATTAGTACAAAAGATCGCAGACAAGGCACAGATGAGCGTCGGTGGCTCCAAGGAAGAAGCAGATGAGAAGGACTTGTTGAGAGCAATGATGGGCGCCAAATTGGCACAATTCATTCCTCTCGTCGAGGGCGGAATGCACGACTTAAAGGCTGAGGTTGAGAAGCAATCTGTCACCACCATGACTTCCATGACCACCCTTCTTTCCAACGACGATGTTGCTCCAAGAATCCCACTTTTGATCGAAACTATGCAAAAGCCAGGAAAGGAGACACTTCAAAAGGCGATTCACGCTCTTTCCCAAACCACATTCGTTGCCATCGTAACATCTCCCGTTCTCGCTCTTCTCACACCTCTTCTCGAAAGATCTCTCAACGATCGTGCTACTGCACAAGAGGTGTTGAGACAAACCGTCGTCGTCGTTGAGAATTTGACCAAATTGGTTCACGATCCCGTCGAGGCTCGTTCTTTCTTGCCAAAGTTGCAACCTGGTGTTAAAGGTGTTCAGGAGCGTGCATCTTTGCCAGAAGTTAGAGACATGGCTGAACGTGCTATGAATGTCATGAACAAGGCCATGAGTGATGACGCTGGAAACGTTGCAAACAGCGAACTTACTAAAGTTAGTGCAGATGAGGTTTCCAAGGTTCTCGATTCCGAGATCAAGAAGGCTGGAGGACTTGCTGGTGATTTGGAGATTTTCAACCTCGCGCAACCATACATTTGTGCTATGCTCGTTGAGGATGTCAACCATCGTCAAATTACTCGCATCGCAGCCAACATCACACCTTATCTTGAGCACATCATGAAGCAATCAGGATCTGCTGCAACCGTTGGTGACGCTGTTCAGCAATTCTATGTCGACGAAGACCACCGAAAGTTTGGACAGCCGGTAAAGGAGGATGATGGCGAAATTGAAATCGTCAACACTGACTTCTCTTTGGCATACGGAGGTATGCTTTTGCTCAACCACACCAACTTGCGCCTTCTCAAGGGGCACAGATATGGTCTCTGTGGTCGTAATGGTGCCGGAAAATCGACACTTATGCGAGCCATCGCAAATGGCAAACTCGAGGGTTTCCCAAGTCAAGATGTTCTCCGAACATGCTTCGTTGAACACAACCAAGGTGAGGACGCCGATATCACCATTTTGGACTTCGTCGCCCAGGATGAAGCTATTGCCAAGGAAGGCCGTGAACGTATCTCCGAGGTTTTGAGCGAGGTCGGCTTCACTGCCGGTCCAGAAGGTCGTCAATTTGAGAAGGTTGGATCGCTTTCAGGAGGTTGGAAGATGAAGCTCGCTTTGGCAAGAGCTATGTTGATGAAGGCTGATGTCCTTCTTCTTGATGAGCCTACCAATCATTTGGATGTTGCCAACGTTAAATGGTTGCAAGAATACCTCAAGACTCACACTGAGATTACCAGTTTGATTGTTTCTCACGACTCCGGATTCTTGGATGAAGTCTGTACCGACATCTACCATTACGAGCCAGGAAAGAAGCTTGCTGTTTACAAGGGTAACCTTGCTGCCTTTGTCAAGCAAAAGCCTGAAGCCAAGAGTTACTACACTCTCTCTGACTCCCTTGTCAAATTCAAGTTCCCTCCCCCTGGTTTACTCACCGGTGTTAAATCCCAAACCAAAGCCATTCTCAGAATGACCAACTGCTCATACTCCTATCCGGGCGCCACCAAGCCATCTCTCCACGAGGTTTCATGTCAATTGACCTTGTCTTCCAGAACCGCCATTATCGGTGGTAATGGTGCCGGAAAGTCTACATTGATCAAGCTTCTCACCGGTGAAACGGCTCCTACTACAGGTAACGTCTACAAGCATCCTAACTTGCGTATCGGATACATCAAGCAGCACGCTTTAGAGCACGTTGAGATGCATTTGGAGAAGACTCCCAATCAGTATCTCCAATGGCGTTACGCCAATGGTGACGATCGCGAAGTACACATGAAGCAAACGCGTATTCTGTCCCCCGAGGACAAGGCACAAATGGAAAAGTTGGTTGATCTTGGTGATGGCTTGGGTGGAAAGCGTATCGAAGCGATCATGGGTCGTCAAAAGTACAAGAAGACTTTCCAATACGAGATCAAGTGGGTCGGCATGTTACCCAAGTATAACTCTCAAATTTCCAGAGAAACTTTGGTTAACCTTGGATACAACAAGTTGATCCAGGAATTTGACGATCACGAGGCATCTCGTGAGGGTCTCGGTTTCCGTGAACTTACTCCAACTGCTATCGCTCAACATTTCGAAGATCTTGGACTCGATCCCGAAATCGCCAATCACAATGAGATCTCTGGTCTATCCGGAGGACAAAAGGTCAAGGTTGTCATCGCAGGAGCTATGTGGAACAACCCCCATCTTTTGGTTCTTGACGAACCTACCAATTTCTTGGATCGTGATTCCTTGGGAGGTCTTGCTGTCGCCATTCGTGACTACAAGGGTGGTGTTATCATGATTTCTCACAACGAAGAATTCGTTGGTGCTCTTTGCCCTGAACAATGGCACGTCGCCGATGGTCGCGTTACTCACAAGGGAAACATGGCTATCGCAGCTGATCGTTTCGAGGAGGCTAGCCGTCCATCAAGTGGATTCAACAGCAGCGTCGTAAGTGCTGCCACCAGTGCCAACGCTAGTGCTGCCACCAGTGGTGCAGAGGATAGTGGAGATTTGGGATTCAAGGCCAAGAAGAAGAAGAAGAAGACCAAGAAGGAGTTGAAGGAGGCCGACGTTAGAAGAAGACAGAGACATATCATCTGGTTAGTTAAATTCCTCTTCTCTAAATTTTACTTTCACATCATACTAACTGATTTCATAGGCTCAACTCTGCAAAGGGTACTCCCCATCCACCAGACACAGATGATGAAGATTAAAAGAACAGTCACACCAGACTTTGCTTCTTGCATATATGTTCATAGTCGATTAGAAAGCAGTGGTCCATCTTGTTTTTTTTATTTCTGGATTGGACCCGTACCATATAGAACTGCACGACTCCATATTTCATTTCACCATCAAATCGGGTCACATTAAAAGAATGGCGTTAAGCGTGAATTATAGATGGGGTGGATGGATGGGATCTTTTTGATGTTTTCATGATAGTTTAGTTATGTCGAGACAATACATACAATGTTATTGTCCAGTATGGCAGTACCTAATCAGATAGATTAGATGGATGCCGAAGAAGCTTGATGCTTTCGGCTTGAGGTAGTAAAATTGAATAGGCAATCAATAAAAATATTTTGTCAATTATTTGATGTGTTAGAGTGTTGATGATGAGTGAGTGTTGAGATTGCGAGTGTGAGGGTGAAGATGTGATTAGAAGTTTTGGTGATAAGTTTGTTGATGGTGATAAGATGGTGAAATAATGGCGAATATATAGATGTATATTTAGGTAGGTATACTCGAGTAGGTACGAGTATATATATATAGGTGAGATGAGATGAGATGAGGTGAAGTGAAGGGTAGGGGTTAGAAATTTGAGAAATTAAAGGAATTGTACAGTATTTGAGGGTAGAGGGTTGAGGGTAGAGGGTAGAGGGTTTGTAGATTTGGATTTGGATTTGGATTGGGGGAGGGTGGAAGGTAGATGGTGGAAAGGAAAAGAGTTCGGAGTTGGGAGTTGAGAGTTGGGAGTTGAGAGTTGGGAGTTGAGAGTTGAGAGTTTAGAATGTGGAAGGGGAGGAAGGGGAGAGAGAGAAAAAAAGGAGGAGAAAAAAAAGGGGAAGAGGGGGGAATGAGGGAGAGAGGGGGGAGAGAGAGAAAAAGGGAGTGAGAGGAAGTAGAGAGACAGAGAGGGAGAGGGGGAGAGAGGGGAGAGAGAGAATAGGTTAGGTTAGTGTGGTGTGGGGAGGGAAGGGAAGGGATTATATCGTGTGGTGTATGGTAGTGTGGAGAGTCAAGGTATTATTTTGTAGTGAATACTCGAGTACTCGTTGAGATGAGATGAGATGAGATGAGATAAAATAAGATAGGGTATTATTAATGATTTGTGATATTTGGATAGGATAGGATAGGATAGGATATAATTAATAGGATATAGTAGATGAGGTTTATTCTATTATGTTCTTTTGCTATTGAGTGGGAGGTGGAGTAAGTAAGGGGAGGAGGGGAGGAGGGGAGGGGAGTATGAGGGTATAAGGGATGGGGGGAGGGATGGGGATAGGGGGGGGGATATTATGTGTTTTGTGTTTTGTATATAGGGATTATGATTTATAATGAGTATAATGAGAAATGTATGAATAACAGAACAGGAATTAGAAATATATACTCAGTAGAAATATTGGAATTATATTATTCTCCTTAAGTCAACTAACTACCCCACATATGGACCACCCCCCCTTTTGGACCACCCTAAAAAAAAAAGACCCCCCATCTCCCAAACCCTATAATTCAATAACTATTTAACTTCAATAAAATCGCCTATATCATCACTTTCAATTGTATCATCACTATCTTCTGCATTAATTCCATAGTCTCCAACTACGATTTGCACCTCCCTAATAGCTCTAATCCCTGAAAACCTGGTATTTGGATTAGTAACAACCTTACATCTTTTCTTAGGTACAACAACAACATTTAATTGATACTTCAATTGCTTTATACATTTTCCTGATTCCATAAGATTATAATCCTTGATATCAAAAGCTTTGATAAT